GCAACTACTTTAGATTTTGTATGTTTGTGCTAACTATCCAATAGCATTTTAGTTGTAAATAATTAATTTAATTTGTTAAAAGTAATATTGAAAAATTAAACAAATTAATATTCTGTTTTTTTGTGTTTATTTGGAGTTAGGAATTATTGCTGTGTTTAAAAACATAATCTAAACGATCATCTTAATTACTTGTAATGCCCAAATCGAAAATGTAAAAAAAAATATTATTTTCCCATAAATAATTAAAAATGCATCGAACCTTAAAAATCGAAATATTTCAAAAACGGCTAACTGTAACGAAAACTACAGGAGAGCTTTTTTATGTTGAAAAGTGCGAAGAATTAGTTTTTTTATTCAATAAGCAAAAAATTGCACTAAGAAAAATTTTTCGGTCATTTTAATACACTACAAGTACAGTAGAGAGCGCCCTCTAGCGGCTACAGTAAAACTATGCCCAGGGTTCGTTTTGTCGTACCAAAGAACCCTTGTATACATCAAATATTGTTCGAAATATTTAAAAAAACTATTTTAGAAAGTAAATTTAAACACCCTGTATTTCGGAACCCACGCATTTTTCGACCCATGTTTATATAGGCTTTATGCATTAATTTTAAAAGTTCTATCGAATCTTAAAGTTATGCAACAATAAACTGAAACACCCTGTATAGGACAGTGTTCCTCAAAGTAAAGAGGAAGTTTGGGGGCGATTAAATGAGTTTTGTGAGGCGACACAATGGATAATTTTTGTCCCTCGCTCCTCGGTAGATACAAGGACATTTTCCCTCAGAAGCAATAATGTACACGACTTACCCCCCTTCCCCCCCTCCCGGTCTTCAATTTTCAATGGTTGATAGCACTCCCCCTCTTCAAAATTGTCATAAGAGTATTCGTTCTCAGGGGCACTGATGTAGTGATGCAGCAGTATATTCAAAACGCAAATACCAAATTATTTTGGGGAGCGCTATAAAATAATTCAGAGTAGGCAGTACACAAAATAGGTTTAAGAACCTTTGATATAAGGCGATTAAAAAGCGATAGCAATATTTTTTAGACCAGAAAGAGACTCCAAAAGTAACGCAAAATGTTTCCCTAGACATATGGTGACTTATTATGTAAATTTCTAAGCCACTGACAGCGGTGACTGGGGGTGGGAGATGGACATTCTTTGAATAACGTTGGAGTTGGAGGATTTATTTTCTAATTATGCTACATACAATTTTTGAGGGGGCCGTTCAGACATCGCAAACTTTTTGTATGTTATGATCATGTATCGGTCCCTAAAAGAGCAGGTGGTAGCAAATTTTCTCAGGTGAGGAATCTTAAAAACCTCAAATATGGTACACAAAATTATGCTAAATAGATAAGGTGGGAACAATGGCATCCCCCTGCGAGCGCTTTTATACCGATTGTACCTCAAATGTTCCCATTATTCTTCAAGAATGACTTGCCAGAAATTTTTCAAGAAAGATAGTTTATGCTAAATTCTATCATAAAAAAATTCTCAAACAGTCAGTTTTGTGGGAGTTTAAAATATCTTAGTTGGCACACAATAATCTCTATCTACTCCGAAGATAAACTTCTTTCTGATATAGATATTGTAACTTTATTTCGGCAAGGAAGCACATATAATTCATATTTTCAAGAAATAGCCGTTTTATCACTTGATGTAGTTTCTGGACTAGGAATAATGATAGTATTTTTTAGATTCTCCTGTATATAACGAAAGCTCTTGTCATTGTCTCAGTATGTCTTTCAACTATATGGTTAATTATGGAAAATGTATAAGTTTTGTGTCATAAACACGCTGCCCCTACATCGATTTTAAAAAATGAAGTCCAACCTCCTTCTATGACGATTCAGGATACTATTGCACAAATATCAAAACCGGTGCTATCATTGCCGATATTACGGGTGTAGGGAAACAGAGAGACAGGGACATAAATTTGTGATCACCCATACTTTCGTCACATATGCATAGCAGAATAGAGTATCGAAATCAAACACTATCAGGGCGAGGTCAGTAGTACTGCTAGTAAAATCAGGGTTTCTTTCTTTCCTGGTGGTTGTTCGACCAAAGTCCCAGGTGGCACTGCAGCCTGTTGGGCTTGCGGCCAGATATAACCAAAAAGTGTTCCACTCACCCTTGAAACCTAATCACTTCATATTCACAGCCGCGTAATGTAATTAGCGCTTAATTTCATTATCTAGAAGTTTCAAGCAACAACAAACTGTGACACATTAGTATGTACCTGCACCATCATAAACACAGTTGATGTAAGCAAAGTCACGTAATTTCTAGAATGAGTAAATAATATGAAAATGCATGAGAAAACGGTTACTTGTATTGAGAAGTGACAGTTTATTCTAGCTTAATTTTAAGCGGTCGTCAGCAAAAAAGTAGGTGATTCTTTTCAGATTTTTTCGAAATTGGGATAAGATACCACGATATTGTCAAGGGCTTATTGGTAATGTATTCGTGCGCGATCCTAACAACCGCAAGTTAAATAAGCGTTTCTAGCTCTTTAATTATGTGTTTATATAGGACAGTGTTCCTCAAAGTAAAGAGGAAATTGGGGGGCGATTAAATGAGTTTTGTGATGCGACGCAATGGATAATTTTTGTCCCTCGATTCTGAGTACCCCCCCCCCCCGGTCTTCAATTTTCAATGGTTGGTAACACTCCCCCTCTTCAAAATTGTCATAAGAGTATTCGTTTTGAGGGGCACTGATGTAGTGATGCAGCAGAATATTCAAAACGCAAATACCTCCCCGCGAGACGGACATCTTGAATAATTTTGGGAAGCGCTATAAAATAACTCAGAGTAGGCAGTACACGAAATAGGTTTAAGAATCTTTGATATAATGCGATTAAAAAGCGATAGCAATATTTTTTAGACCAGAAAGAGACTCCAAAAGAAACGCAAAATGTTTCCCTAGACATATGGTGACTTATTACCAAGAGATAGGGTCTGTAAATTTCTAAGCCACTGACAGCGCTGACTGGGGGTGGGAGATGGACATTCTTTGAATAACGTTGGAGTTGGAGGAGTTATTTACTGATTATACTACATACAATTTTTAAGGGGGCCGTTCAGACATCGCAAATTTTTTGTATGTTATGATCATGTATCGGTCCCTAAAAGAGCAGGTGGTAGCAAATTTTCTCAGGTGAGGAATCTTAGAAACCTCAAATATGGCACACAAAATTATGCTAAGTAGATAAATTTTAGGAGGCAGCCAAGATGGGAACAATGGCATCCCCCTGCGAGCGCTTTTATACCGATTGTACCTCTAAAGGTTCCCATTATTCTCCAGGAATGACTTGCCAGAAATTTTTCAAGAAAGATAGTTTATGCAAAATTGTATCATAAAAAAATTCTCAGTCAGTTTTGTGGGAGTTTAAAATATCTTAGTTGGTACACAATAATCTCTATCTACTCCGAAGATAAATTTCTTTCTGATATAGATATTGTAATTTTATTTCGGCAAGGAAGCACATATAAATCATATTTTCAAGAAATAGTCGTTTTATCATTTGATGTAGTTTCTGGACTAGGAATAATGATAGTATTTTTTAGATTCCCCTGTATATAACGAAAGCTCTTGTCATTGTCTCAGTATATCTTTCGACTATATGGTTAATTATGGAAAATTTTTAAGTTTTGTGCTCATAAACACGCTACATCGATTTTAAAAAATGAAGTACAGCCTCCTTCTATGACGATTCAGGATACTATTGCACAAATATCAAAACCGGTGCCATCATTGCCGATATTACGGGTGTAGGGAAACACAGAGAGACAGGGACATCAATTTGTGATCACCCATATTTTCGTCGCATATGCATAGTAGTACTGCTAGTAAAATCAGGGTTTTTTCTTTCCTGGTAGTTGTTCGACCAAAGTCCCAGGTGGCACTGCAGCCTGTTGGGCTTGCGGCCAGATATAACCAAAAAGTGTTCCACTCAGCCTTGAAACCTAATTACTTCATATTCACAGCCGCGTAATGTAATTAGCGCTTAATTTCATTCTCTAGAAGTTTCAAGCAATAACAAAATGTGACACATTAGTATGTTGTACCTGCACCAACATAAACACAGTTGATGTAAGCAAAGTCACGTAATTTCTAGAATGATGACTAAACCGGGGTGGAGCTTTTTTATTTTCTATAGCCATTTAGATACCATCAATGTAATGTAGATGCGTGCTTTGTAGGTTACACGAATCTATTATTTATTGTAGAAGCGCTATTATTATACATGGTGGTCGCAATAACAGAAAGGAATATGCCGCAAACAATGCATATAGTATGTATACAACGTTGTATGCAATGTTGTTTACAACGTTCGACACACCACAATTGACAAGTGCGTCTCCTACACGATGGGGTGAACTTTTGAGTCTCGGAAGTTCGACGCATTGTGGCGCCCACATCTACTATCGGTGTCAGTGTCGCGCTTGAACCTTTACAACTGAAGGAAAAATTGTACAAAATGAACGATGAAACAATTTTTTCGAATGTCGAAAAATAATTTCAGATCTGCCTTCAGTGACCAAAACCTAAGTCTGTCAGAAGCCTCAGAAATGTCGAAAAACGAAGTTTGACCGGTTTTTGTTTGTTTTTCCACGATCACACCGCCGCCACTGTACCGATTTTCAAAAACTGCACAGCTTTTTCGTCATTTTCAAAGTAGTAACCTAGGGTCAAAATTTCATCCTTAATCATGATAGTACTTTCAGAGTTATCATATATTTAATCATTTTCGTTAGTTACGAAATGCAAGTCAATATATCTCTCAAATAGTCTTGCATTGCAACATGACATTATAATGGAACAACTATAAGCACTTGATAATTTATAATTTACTAAAATACATATCCTTAGTCCAGCCATAACTCACCTGCGAAACGTACAAAATATCAGCAATATGAAAAAGGTGTTGTTATGGCAGCCTATGCTTTGTATGTGTACTAATTTAATTCATTCTCCTCAGAGGTTAGTTACGGGAATACATTATTATGAATAGGTAGGTATTCAAATCAAAATACTACCCACATACCACTACTTAGCCACAATCACAGCAAACAAGTAAATAATGTTTTTTGCCGCTACTAGGTTCTAACCTAAAACCATCCTTGCTTGCAACGTTGTAACGTCCTTTGACGTGGGTCAAATTTACCGACAAGCGTTCTCCCACACGATGAGGTGAATGACCATGTGTCCAACGTTGTAAGGCATTCGCCACATCGTGTGGGACTGGTTTAACATACATGTCACTGTAATTTGAACAACTCTTTTGAGCCTCCTAAACATTCGACACTGTAGGACGATCTGCTCATTCTGATTTTACTTGAATATTTCAAGTTATTGGAAATACCAATAATAAATAGGGGCGGAATACCAAGTTATCTGCGTTATTGCGCGGTACCGAATCCACCATCCTTCCATCTCTCTAGCCGCTTGACATGATATAAACAAAGCGAATAAAATGATTCTTATCATTAATAGTAGTAATGTTCTAGCATCACATTTCCAACGACTTGAAACCGACGAGCATCGCAGTTCAGAAAACCTGTTCAAGCAAGGGTGAAACCTAGTTGGGAATTATCGGTCGACTGTCTCACAGGATTTTGGCGGGACTTTCTGACATGCGCAGATCGCACAAGATGTTGTTTTATTATGAATCCCTCATGATTTGAGGTTGTGGTAATTGTGTTAGCGTGCTTGCGTCTTTCTTAGTTTTGTTCCAACTTGTATAACAGTTTGTATCAATTGAAAGGACTGAAGCCAGATCATAGTTCTCATAAAATTTGGTGTGTACTAGTTTTTTATTGTGTATACCTATTTGTATTGGTTACAGAAATTTCAGACTCTTATAGGTCAAGTTCAGGATTTGATTGGATCTTAGATATCGATTCGAGTGATTATGAAAACATTCTGCACATACTGATTCATAACTAAAAAACTGAGCATTACATAAATGTAAATGTTGTTTATAATGGAAGTAAAATCAGAGTGACTTGCAAAGTGGCTGAAGATATCTCAACTAAATACGAACACAGCCATGTTCTTCAACTAGAGGATGGAGGCAACATGAAACTTTCTGCTTATAAGCAAACACTCTGGCTTGCAGTATATCTGCGTCTGTAATTCAATGGCCTAACAATGAGGAAAGAAACATATAATTTCATCTAAATGTCAAATACGATGGTGTCACTGTCAACTCAAACGTGTTTTAACAGAAAAATGTGTTGTTGCAGAATGTAATTCAAATTCGTTTGATACTAGTTCTTTGACAACGCATGCGCATTGAAGGAGTTCGCAGTCGGGTATCAAACTTCGGAAATGTGTTGTCAGAGCATTACTATGTATTAAATCGTCTCGGGTGGAGGTGTCGATAAAAGGAGCTTCATCTTTCTCAGGATTGTTTGTTAAATAGGCTTAGATATTTCAGATTCACTAAGATTTTGAGTAGCAGATAGCTTTCCAAAAAACCTAACACGTCAATGTAAGAAGCATAAATGATCAGGGGAAGAGGGTTTCTGCTTTTCGCATACTATGGTGGTCCGTGCTGAAACGATTTTTTTAAAGCAGATGTCTAATTACTTCGCAAAGAAGAAACAAAGCTGTGACAAATTCTCATAGATGATTCTACGGTATATCGTTGCATCTCGGATAATTTGTTCGCTATATTTAGGTAAAATACGTTAATCAAAGCTCATAGTAAAAGAGGGAAAACAACAAAGGACCATTTTCACCTCAAGGGTCACAAAGGCAGGAGCTAAAAAGTAAAAACATTTTTCATTTTCAACTGAAAGCCTCGAATTGAGCATGACTGTTTAAAATTTATTGTTCATTTGAAAGAATTATAAATCAGTTGATTGAGAGATTATTATTTGACGAAGGTACTTTTAACTGTCCTACTATTTGTGAAGAATTAAACGCACTCATACTGATGCTTAATACCATCTAGGAAAACTGACAATATGATCAAGTTTCTCTAGTAATTTTTATACGTAATGTTCCAGTAATTTGTTGAGATAGTCGTAACTTTGTTTTAAGAAGAACTGGAACGGAAAATTTTAGAACAGCTGTTATTTTATTTTGTCTAGTATCTTATGAAAAAAGAAAGGCAAATCGTGAGCATGTCCACAATAAAGGAACAGTAGCAGAAATAGAAGGATCGGTCACCCGAGCGTTGTCCGTTTCTGCTTATTGGCTTTCATCAGGTACTCGTGGGTGTGCATCGAAAACAACGAAGTGAAAATATGTGCTTATCACATCTGTATACGCGTGTAACCTAAAGGAAATCAAGCATGCAGAGGAAAATGCAACAAGAAGCCACCAGCACATTTGTGACTTCGTAAGCAGAAACGTACGTCGCTCGGGTTGCCCATTCTTCTATTTCTGCCCCTATTCCGTAATTGTGGACATTCTTTGTTTTTTCATGTCACTTTCCGCAAAACTATTTGTTCTTCCTTGTATTTGATAATTACATTCACACTACGAAACTCCGAAAATCAATTGCCGCCTCATCCATATCTCATATGGTATTTTTATTATTTATACTAGAATGTCCAATTTCCGGTGATTGTTGAAAATTACAACAATTGAAAAATTTCGAATTCCATTGATTTTTGTCTGAACATATATATATATATATATAGGTGAAAAATTAAAGCTTCCGCCTTTTGTTGGGTACTTCGACAAAATTTAAGCAAAGAGGACTCTTTATACTTTTTTTAATTCTCTCTAGCTTTCAATGGACTTTGCCATCATCATCAGGAGAGTAGTACTACTCTACTTTACTTAAATTTTGTCGAAGTACCCAACAAAAGGCGGAAGCTTCAATTTTTCACCTAACTGGTCTAGACGACAATGATCACGTCTCAAGTTATATATATATATATATATATATATATATAAGGTGCAAATTGTTGCATCTTATGGATCCTATCACTTTATGTAATGAATGCGGCGAATTGTCAGTAATCCTGCACAAAACGACATTATAATAACGGCTTCAGAAAATTCGCCAACTTGCTGCAAAAGCCACGTCAACTGATCAGTGAAACTACTCATATTTTGTGTTCGTGGTGCCCTCACCTTCCGATAGAGGAAGTGTGACCTGAATTAGCGATTATACTAATAATTAGTTAAATGCACATGTATTTTTAACAGGAAAACACGATTTCTGTGTTGCAATATACTTAATTGTCGTCCTAGAAATAAATGCTTGTTCAACATTATTAAAAGTGAATGACTCGGAAATAACTGGGAAACGAGAAATACTCGTTATAAACTAATAGCTTTTTTGGTCAAAACTTTATTAAAATGATTGATAACGTTTCAGCTACATCATAGACTAATTAAATGGAAATGGTCCTTATTTCAACTTTAAGTATTAATTGGATATAGGCATTGCATTACAATTAAAATTAAGTTTACAATATGTAATATATTATAAAAACTCAATAGATGCGGACTATACCCAACTAACTGATCACTCCTGTTAAGGTTGCAAGAACGTTCTTATAGTATTCGTTACACAGCAATGTATGTTGCAAGCGCATTGACAATACGTTTTTAGAACAGCTATACAAGCGGAATGGGCATACCTTCAGTCGCTACAGAAGTTTTATAAGGGCTGCAGGTAACAGTGATACAACAGAAGTGTAGATACTGTTGCATCCGCTAAAGAAGCTTTGCGTCAGTGCAAGGTTCAATTTTTGTCAACTATACAACCACTCTGTTGAAATGTTGAAATTTAAATCTTCAACAAATTTGACACTGATATTTATCATTTTTTATGTTTAATGTCGGACTGAAGCAGAACTATTTCATCTTTTACCCAGTATGGCTCACTCCTCAAGGGTTTGAGGTTGCCTGGAACAGGGGTGGTGGAGGGACCGCACATGGTGTGTGTGTATACCCAGTATGACGGGTGGTTATGTATGATGTACCATCTTCAGTATTGTCTCAGTATATTAGAAGATTCTGGTGTAAGTGTATGCCGAGCACAGCAATGTCGTACTATAAAAGTTGTGGTATTGTAGCTGGAGCCTTTAACAGTTACTGTATTAATGCTGCCGTTGGGAGCAACTTGTTGACTGAAGTGGTAATTTTGCACACCAAAACAGCAAGGCTCGGATTTGTATAGATGTCACACCACAACTATATTCGCTACCGAGCTAATATGCCGTATAAAATAGTTGTATAGGCACAAACATTTAAAATTTATCCTATAAGGTGTTGTATACGTATGCTGCAACTGTGTTTTGTACACCTCATCTTACAGCAAATCTACTTAAGGCAACAACAACAGAAAAAAGTTTACGACTTAACAGTTCTTTTACCAAAAACTTATAGCACCACTTTGCTTGTTAGGTACTGTCTACAAGCAACAGACAAACAGACACGTTCGAATTAGCGAAACAAACATATGTCTCAAAGGAAAGCTGCAGAAAATAGGAAAAACCACATGTTTGTCGAAGTTCTTCAATTTTTGACGCTTTTCGTTAGGATAAGAATAGTTGGCTAACCTGTAACCCATTGTATACATGCATTTTTAGGTTTTTTTAGTTCCTTTGTTGGAATAATGATTTGTCGTAAAAATCGCCATAAATCTAAAAAACGGTTAACCGATCTTTTCAACTTTTAACATAAGACTAAGATTTTTTTAGCCACAATAGACCAAAGAGGCGCAGTGGAAGATCATTATTGATGCACTCATAAGAAACCTAACCTATCCTAAGCTAAGATTTATTTTAATGCACAAATATTTTTTAGTGCTTTCTTCCAAGCTCCATTGTCAGAATTGTGATTTGTTGCCCGGAAAATCACGAAAATAGGATAAAGCACATGTTCGCTAATTGTCTCCAGTTTTCAACATTGTCGGTCAGGGTAGAAATACTTAGCTAACACAATAACCCACTGTATGGATGTGTGTTCGTTATTTTTAGTTTCGTTGTCAGAATTATGATTTCTTGTCCAGAAATTCCCCAAAATGCGGAAAATGCATTTTCACGGGTTTTTCTTGATTTTAGACATATACTAAGTGACATATAAATCCGAACACCCAGTTTAAATGGTTTTATTTTAATAAAAGTTGGTGAATGTATTTATCTTACTGTAAATAACAAGTGAAAAAATTTTCAGCCTTATCAGTTGGACATTCCGGTTTTTATACTGCTTTTTTTAATTCACTAACGCTCTAAAAATGAATATTTCAGCCGCAGTAAAGAATCAACGTTGGCGGATTTTGGTTCTTGACATCCTTTACGATCGGTTACGATTGCTAGAGTACGGAGACCTGTACGATTTCGTCAACTTAGTGAGTTTGATAGGGGCCGTATAGTGGGACTTCGGGAAGCTGGACTTTCTTTTCGGGCAATTGCATTTAGAGTGCAAAGAAGTGTAGACACTGTGGTTAGGTGTTGTCAGGCATGGCTTCGAGAAGGCCGTACGCAAAGAGCAAGGGGCACTGGACGCCGCCGTAGAACAACAGACCGTGAAGATCGCCGCCTAAGATTATTGGACTTAAGGGAGCGTTTCTCCACTACCAGGTCCATTGCAAATGAATGGTTTGCAGAACACGGAAGACCTATTGGCATGCGAAGTGTTTACCGACGAATGAGAAGTTTTGGCTTGTTTTCATACCGGCCACACTGGGTCCTCCCTTTAACTCGAGAACACCGACGTAATCGCCTTGAGTGGTGCAGACAACGGTCACTCTGGGATCAGGAATGGAACAGTATTGTCTTTAGTGACGAGTCTCGATTTTGTTTAGGCATGCACGATGGTCGTGCCAGGGTTAGAAGGCGACGTGGTGAAAGGAGGAATCCACAGTTTTTTGTTGAAAGACATGTTCATCACACTGTTGGAGTTATGGTTCCAGGTCACCTTTAATCTTCATCAGAGGAAACATGAACGCGCAGCGTTATATCCACGAAGTTCTAGAACCCCATCTTTTACCCTATCTTGACACCCTGGCAGATCCAACTTTCCAACAAGATAATGCCCACATGTTGCAAGAGTCACAATAGACCTCTTTCAACATAATGATGTCACATTGTTACCATGGCCACCAAGATCTCCCGACTTATCCCCAATTGAGCACGTGTGGGATATGATGGGTAGGAGATTGCTTAATTTGCAACGTCCTCCTCAGACTCTAGAAGCACTTCGAGAGGAGTTGGTGGTTGCCTGGAATGAGATACCACAGGAGGACATTGACCACCTGATCAGAAGCATGCCTAGGTGCGTTGGAGAATGCGTAGCACATCAGGGTGCATCCACACATTATTAAAGGTCAAAGGGCTTTAAAGCAGTGCAATCATTTTGAAATTTTTATCATTTACTTATTATGCTTCATTAAGTACTTATACAAAATTTTATTAAAATAAAACCATTTAAACTGGGTGTTCGGATTTATATGTCACTTAGTATATTTAGGATAGAATATTATTATCTGCCTAACTCAAATAATCCATGTGCATATGTGCTTTTGTGCATTCTTTCAGGATACATTGTCAAAATTGTGAGTCGTTGTCCAGAAAATTGTGAGTAAAGGGAAAAGCCGTATGCTCGCTGATGTTGTTCAATTTTTGACATCTTGGGTCTAAAACCTATTATGCACATATTTATGCATAGACTGAGTTTCCAAGTTAGCAAAGTCACGATATCCTACTCGAAAAATTTATAAAATTGTTAAAATCGGTGAAAACACGTTTTTTCTAACTTTTCGATTTTCTGGGCGAGAAATCATCGCTTTGCCAACGGAACTGATATGACAAAAAACGTCAAAAACTGAATAAAATCAGAGAACACGGGGTTTTTCCTATTTTCGCAATTCTCAGGGCCACAAAATTTTGATGTTGAAACCTGAAATATGCACAAAAAACATACGCGTATTCAGCTTTTGGCTATCTATTACCAAAATTGCAAAATTGGTGATAATGCGGTTTTTTCGATTTTTGCCCATTTTCCAGATGAAGAAATCATAGTTATGAAAAACTGAAAAGAATGTAAAAAATGCATGTATGTCTACAATGGGTTACTAGGTTAGCCATCTATGTCTTTCCTAACCAAAAGCGTAAACAAATGAAGTAAAATCACTGTAAATGCGATTTTTCATATTTTTGTGATTTTTTGGGTAAGAAATCAATAATTTGATTGTGGAACTGATAAGAATCTATAGGGATATCAAAAACTGGAGAAAATCGGTGAAAACGCGGTTTTTCCGATGTTTGGTGTTTTTTCGGGCAAAAGCACATGATATTGTCAGTGAATCTGGTGAAAAGCTTACGAAATTTTCATTACCTAACCTAAAATTCGAAAAAAAAATTTTTTCTATCGCACCCATAAGTTGCACAAATCTATAAAAATCACAAAATGTCTCAAGCAAAATTGTATCAGTAAAAAATATTCCCGTAAAAACACGTTTTTAAGGTTAGGGTCCCCTAGGGGTGACCTGTCCATCCGAAAATATGGCTAAGATGATGTGACTCAAGACAATTTGGATTGATCCAGATTTTGATACCTTTGGGGGCAATTCTTATGTATTTGCGCCTATAGCTTTTAGGAGATGGTTTGGAGTTGAGCTGAAGCCACAGTATGTCCTAATGTCCTTCCGGCCTGATTTCAAAGAGGCTTTTCTGAAGCAGGAGGGATTGTCTTCAGTATTAGAGATAATTTATTTGTGAATGAATTCGAAGGACCATCTTCGAAGCCAAACTAGTGCTGTATAAAGCCGTTTAAAGTCATTTGTATATATTCTTGAAAAAGGAAACTGGCATTGAAGCAGCTATCCACGAACAAAAGCATTTACTTAATTAACTTTTTGCCATTTAAATAGACAAAACACGTGTAACAAATCCGACTAATATATCTAATTCGTTTCAATTTATCGTAGTCTTTGCTTTGAATCAAAACAATGACTACGGTGATTGGCGAAAATGGGGATTCATGGAAATCGTTAGAAAATTATCTCTCATATACAGTTTGTGCTGGGAAAATGAAGACCTGGACAGTGCTTACAAGCTTACAAATGCTTCAAAACAAACAGTGGCAAAAAATAGATGCTTCATAATTTTCCAAGCCTAGGTAGTGACAATGAAAAATTCAATTCCAAATCGTTTACGAGGATATTTATAATGGGTGATTTTTTTGCTAGTATCTTTTTGGCAACACTGTTTTTGACAGATGACGCGTGAATCGTGTCTTGTGTCATTGTCAAACTTATTGCTCGGTTAAGAGAGTGCATCGAGCACTGCTTCCAATTTATGGGCAATTTGGTCGGCCTACTGAGGGAGCTATTCGGAAGCTTGTGACTAAATTTCGAACCCAGTTTACATTATTGGACATTAAACCACCAACACGCAGACGTAGAGTGAGGGCTGAAGAAAATATTGCGGCTGTATCCGCCAGTGTTAGTGATGACCGTGTAATGTCGATTCGCCGCCGTTCGCAGCAATTGGGCCTCTGTTACTCCACTACGTGGAAAATTTTGCGACAGGATTTGGCTGTAAAACCTTATAAGATACAGCTGGTGCAAGAATTGAAGCCACACGACCTCCCACAACGTTTCCAATTTGATGAATGGGCGCTGGCAAAGTTGGAGGAAGATCCACTTTTTATCGAAAAATTGTGTTCAGCGACGAAGCTCATTTCTGGTTGAATGGGTACGTTAACAAGCAAAATTGCCGCATCTGGAGTGAAGACCAGCCAGAAGCATTGCAAGAGCTACCAATGCATCCCGAAAAAATCACTGTTTGGTGTGGATTATGGGCCGGTGGCATCATCGGGCCGTACTTCTTCAAAGACGACAATGACCGGAACGTAACTGTGAATGGCGAGCGCTACCGTGCGATGATAACAAACTTTTTTTTGCCCAAAATGGAAGAGCTGGACTTGGCTGACATGTGGTTTCAACAAGACGGTGCCACATGCCACACCGCACACGAAACAATGGCCATATTGAGAGGCGAGTTCGGCGAACAGTTTGAGGCCCGTCAATTGGCCGCCTAGATAGTGTGATTTAACGCCGTTGGACTATTTCTTGTGAGGCCATGTTAAGGCTAATGTCTACAGGGATAAACCAGCAACGATTGACGCACTGGAAGCCAATATTGAAGCGTTTATTCGTGAGATACCGGCCGGTATTTTAAACTATATCGACCGTTCTATCGACTCAAATAAGGATTTAATCTTACTTTCAAATTTTTTGTGTTTTTTTGAAAATCAAATCCTATACCTCTTAAAAAATCACCCGTTAAAATGCCTATAATTGTCTATACCATAAATGCTAAACCTTGAATTTGAGGTTCTTGTCAAACTTTAGCTCACTGTCTTCATCAAGTAATAGAATAAGGTCAGTGGCGTAGGAAGTAACAGAATGCGTTGGGATGTGTCTAGCTTATTTGTCTCTTATTTTTAAATTTAATTCACCAACCAAATCATCCATCATATAGAGTTATTGACGACTTTCTTTTGTTTCAGTGACCTGCGGCTATTTCACACGTTAGATCCATTCAGGCAATCATGGGACGTAGGAACCACAAGAGCTGCGGAGTCTATCGGCAAAGATCGAGAGCCATTGGCTCCAGATTATAAGGATCCCGATTCATCAGCGACAGAACAGGTAAATAAGGAGTTACAAATTTTGGTAGGCACTTTTGCTTTTACTAAAAAATTTACATTATGCCCATAAACGTATGAAAATTATAATCCAGAAAAACAATTCCCAGCCACCTATAGAATAATAATTCCACAGAAATCGATAGTCAAATGAAATAGCCAAACTTCCTTAAAAATTCCGTTTGAGTATTCTTATTTGTTCTGTAAACACTACTAGGGATTGCAATCCAGCAGGTTTCATCGATCCCATGCGGGATCGCGGGGGATCATACAGCTTAGGCTAACATCATCTTTTTTCTGATACGTTTAGATATTTGCCTCTCCCTTTTTTATTCAACTCTCTAAACCAAGTACATATGCACATAAGCATATATTGGAACCCGTTTGTATTGAGCAACTATTGACAGTAAGCTAGCAAGAAATATCTGTATATAAGAGACAGCCTTCCACCAAACGATTTCAGCAGATTGCAAGCACGAATAGAACCAGTCATCTCTACAAAACTGGTTTCGAAGCACAGGATGTGCTCGGAAAAAGTTAGCGCCTACGACCGATGCAGTTTAATGACATTAGTCTGTATGTACACGGTCTTTTCAAATCGCTTACACTTACAGAGTGGCCCAACGGCTTTAATCTTCGGGAAATGTTTCGTGTTCCAGGGCGCAGATTTTCAATAAGGAAGTTTTCCACAAGGATATCAATAATAGTTATAATAATTTCTAAGGGCCGTATCGTCGGTCGTTCCTAAAACTGTAGGACGCCTTTATGGCCTCCTTGATTTTCACAGCATTTTCTATCGTTCAGAAAATGATGGGATTTCTACTGTTCCGTGTCAACCTCAGCGCTTTCCTATTGCGAGGCTCTGTTTTCTTTTTCAGTTGTAGGAAATTTCAAGCTATATTACAGATTATATAAATCAAAAGCTTGAATAATTCGATTCAAATAGATATTTGTAGCATAACCTCAAAATAGACCGCTGATACGGAGAAGTAGAGAACTATGAAAATCAAGGAGGTCATAAAGGCGTTCTACAAATAGGACGCCTTTGTGACCTCCTTGATTTTCTCAGTCTTTTCTCTCCTTCGGAAAGGCTGCGGTATTTCTAAATTTCTACAGATCCGTGTTAGCTTTTACTTATTGTGAGGTTATGCTTTCTTTCTTAAGTGTCGGAAATTTCAGGCTGATTAAACAGATATAAATAAAAAGCATGAACAATTTGATGCAAATAAATATTAGTAACGTAACCTCAAAATAGAGCGCTGACACTGAAGGACAGGGAAAACTATGAAAATCAAGGAGGCCATAAAGGTGTCTTACAATTTTGTAGGAACGACTGACGATACGGCTCTTAGTCCTGTTTGATCACAGGTAGGACAAGGATTTGCCAAAAGGTTTTATTAACAAACTGTGATCTATCGGTGGATTGGAAAAATTAAATCTAAGGAAAACAAATTTTTCATTATCTAAAACAAGCCCATTCTTACTGAACCACTGACCTGAATCACTTGACCTTGAATCACCAAGTCCTTCCAAAAGCTCTAAGTTTTTTCTTTCATTGATACGTATGGACGTATCATCTGCATACATTACCGAGCAATCGGAGGGGAAGTCATCGACATATGTATACGAGAGAACCAAGTGGTGAACCATGTGGAATACCAACAACTACCTGTATTGCAAAATGTGAATGGACTATAGGAAGTTCAATCAATACAAGCAACGTCCATTTTATATACATTATTTGTATTTGTTCGACATTTCAGAGCTCAAGTCCGCAATTTGGCTTGTCATTTCCAGTGTGATGCTATTGTTTCTTTTGGCTCTCACTCCAGTTGGTAATTAAGTATTGTGAGTGCGAAAAATTTCAAAATCAAGATCTTATCTTTTTGAGTGTCGCTCATTTTTGCCGATCTGCCTGTTCGACAATTTTTGGCCACTCTATAACCTGGTACCGCTCAGATTTTGATAAAATTATTATACAAGGTTACTGTTTTAAAGTTTTTAAAATATCAGATCGTCCCCTAATTCTGCTTTTTAAGTTTCTGATGGCTTTTGCAGGCAAAAGTTCTCTTCATAGCCTAATCATATTAGACGAGAAGTATGGATCCCATGGATTTGAAGAATTTCAAGTAGTTGCGTGCCATTATCGTCGCATTACCAAGTGCCAAAATCTGCATTTTGCCTCGTTTTTCGACCATAACATTTTTGCTATTAGTCGGATCTTCTTGTTGCTATAACGAACAGTTTCTAATTTCTGTGCGCCATTTTTGAGTAAAAAAATAAAAACCGTTCTATTTACCGAGAAAATTAATGCTCTGGAATATGTCACTGGCTTTTGACATCTGATAAGTCTCTCTGTTATTCAAATCTGTTCGCTGTGACATCTTTTTCATTATTTAGTTTTTACAATCTTGTTAATAATGGTGAATTATTCAAATGCAGAAATGGCGGAAATGCATTACGTATATGGCCTTGCCGACGGTAATGGTGAGCAAGCCAGATGGATTTATCACCAGAGATATCCCGATCGTGCTTTGGCAGATAGTCGAACCTTTTCTAATATTCATTGTCGTCTTGTTGAAACTGTGTCTGTCCGAAAAGGAACATCTGAAGGTAGACCTCTAAGTGTGAGAACACCTGAAATTGAGGCGGCAGTGCTGCACGAAGTCGAAGAACATCCTGAAACGAGTACGAGGAAGATCGCTAGACACTTAAACATTTCCCATCAAATTGTTTGGAGAATTTTAGTGGATTTTTTGTTATATCCTTACCATATTGTAAGAGTACAGGCATTACTTCCCATTGATTTTCCAAGGCGTGTGACGTTTTGTCAGTGGTATCTTCAAAAAATTACACAAAATCCGCAATTTGAATCAATGATTTTGTTCACGGCCGAAGCTAATTTTTCTCGAAACGCCATTCAAAATTTCCTCAATAATCCCTTGTGGGCAGAAGAAAATCCCTATGCCGAAACCGAAACCCATTTCCAACACCAATTTTCGGTTAACGTATGAGCACGAATTATTGGCAACCACTTTATTGGCCCATTCTTCTTGCCGGGACGGACTTATCTCAATTTTCTTCAACAACAGTTGCCTTAGCTGCTTGATGATTTTCCGTTAGTAATAAGAAACAATATTTGGTACATGCATGATGGTGCACCAGCGCATTTCAGTGTAGCGGTTCGTAATTATTTACAAACTGTTTATCCAAATCGTTGGATTGGCCGCCGTGGGCCCCAAGAATGGCCACCGAGGTGCCCAGACCTCAATAGTTTAGATTTATTTTTGTGGGGCTATCTTAAAACACTAGTGTACACAAGTCCCATTAACATGGTAGAGGAATTAAGCGAAAGAACAGCTGCAGCTTGTGATAGAATAAAAAACACTCCAGGGATATTTTAACAAGTGCTCAATTCCATGAGGAGGGCGGAAGCATGCATACTAAGTGAATGGGGCCATTTTCAACAATTTTTGTAATCATTTCGTTGGTTTTAATGTTATGTTTATGTTGTCAGTTGTTGTTGTTCATTACCCCTACTGTGTTTAATTTTTCCAATTAAATTAATAATAATTTTGCAAGTTAGAGAATAGAAAGGTTTTTATTTTTTTACTCAAAAATGGCGAATCCAAGACAAACAATTCAAGAGAGATCATTTATTTTAAATTGAACGGGGAATTCAAAAATAATTCTTATTTGGCAAAAAATCATTGGAATACCATTTTTTCTTAAAAACATCGAAGTCAATACCCGTACGCACGCCTCTGTTAAAGCTAAAACTTATTCTTGCATTGAAAAATATGCAATTCATTTACTTTTACTACGTAGGTACTGAATATCAGTGAAATATCTGAAGCGGTTCTGAGAATATTAAATATTTTCCATTTTTTTTCCTAAAACTTCAACACCCCGAGTTTTAGTAAGAAAACATTTTTGGACCATAGTTTATAAAGCAAACTAACATTAATTTTTCATGTAGGTTCACATCCTTAAATATTCGCATATCATTCAGAAACACCCTGTTAATTTCGCTGTGGTCGATTTTAGTAATAGATGGCGGTTTGTGGTGCCTTATGTCAATAGAGTTCATACCTTGAGTAGAGGAAAGTTGGTTGTTCTAGAGGCCAACCCTAATCAGTCGCATAGGCACAACCTAAATGCCAGGGTACCGCGGCTGCAATTAGGAGCTTAACGAAACTTTGTTAATTCGAGTTTTGAACTGCCTAAGGTTAGTAGAACTGGGAAAAATCTCCTCTTCTATATTGTTCCACCATCTCGATACCTTCGTGACAATGGGGTGAACGTACAAGGTTCAACACGGTCAGGATATGAAGCGCGTCGCGGTAGAAGAGAGCTAGATCGCCGACGGCCCCCGGTGCGTAAGGGTCCCGAGACGGTCCGTTGGATAAAAGCCATCGATCAGTCAGACAGTCCTCCTCTGAATGGCATCAAGCATGGATAATGGCGGCAGCACCCCAAACATGTGAGCAGTAGTCGAGGCTAGGTCTTATCTGGGCATTGTACAGAATGATGAGGTCATGTGGAGAAAAGTACTTCTTAGTTCTAAATAAATAGTCTTTCTCCTAGCAGCTGAAGTCCATCGTGATCTGGACCCCGACCAGACTCTTTGGTAGAACTCGTCCATTCATCGAAAGCGGATGAGCGCTAGGACGCTTGTTGTTAGTCAAGATACAGTACTGTGTTTGAAAGTATTAAACTGTACAATATTGTTGTGTCCCCAAGCATTGACTACTTCGACGTCCCTCGTCAGGGAGGAAGTTCTTGCCTTGTTTTCTCCAGCTCAGTGACAGAGAAAATTGCTAAAAGCCACGACACAGCTGTCCATGGTTGCCTGTCTTCGTATGTGTAAGCCTAAGAAGTAAACTAAGTCCAATATACATGACATAATTTCTTTTTCTTTTCTAGAAAGCAGTGACCCAACAAAAACCTCAAGAAGACAAACCGGCCGGCAAGGGTGTTGTTGGAGGTGGCATAGGCGTGGGAGTAGTTGACGTTGATGCTAACGGAGGCAATCCTCTCACGACCGCTTTCAGCTCGGCCTTTGACTTTCCCAACTTTGGATTGGGCGAGATCCTTGGAGGGTTCAATAGGAACCAGTGGTGGAAGGGGTGAGTGTAATTAGTATATTTCTTACTTCAGATGTACTAATATGATAAAATTATTATACATGGTTATAAAAAATAGCAACATAGCGTTACGGTTCATCTCGCCCTTCCAATTTGAATAAGTTGATTGAATTACACGAACACCATCACGTAAGGCCTTAGTTCGTTACTCCTTTTCTGTTTTAGTGTTTTTTTACGAAAGTGGTAAACTGTTCGAGTGCTTATGAGCTCTTACACAACACAGTTTGCGTTGTAATGTGCCTGTATAGGCGGACTAATTTGTGTAGTTTCAAAAACTTGCAGAACTTTTTTATGCCGATCGCACAGGCAAAAGCCTGTATACTGGGACACCGCGGTACCTATAGAAGTTTAAAGACGCTTTGTTTAATCTGATTTTTTAACTGCCTAAGGCTAGTTAAACTGGGAAGAGCCTTCTCAGGCAGATTGTTCCACAATCTCGAAAGCCTAGGGACAAATCGAGCGACCCGTCGGTGCAAAAGGATCCCGAGACCTCTGAACAGCATCAAGAATAGACAATGCAGTTGGGGTGGCACCACCCTAAACATGTGAGCAGTACTTGAAACTAGGTCATATCTGGGCCTTGTACAGATTGATGAGCTTATGCGGAGAAAAGTACTTCTCAACCCTAAACGAAAAGCCTAGCTTTGTCCCAGCAGGTGTTGCGATTGACGTGATTCCAGATCAACTGCTCGGTGATCTGAACTTCGACCAGCCGAACGGGACTTTGGTAGAACTCGGTCATCCATCGAAACCGGATAAGCGCTAAGGCAGTCCTAGCCACGGTACATTACTGCGATTTGGAAGCATTAAACTATACCAGATTGGTATTGGTATTTGGAATTTCTGCATGTAGTGTGCTGTCAACAGCAACGCTTGGATCGGATTGATCATACAGGGAATCGGGTCGTTGATATGCAATAGACAGCCCGCCAATTGCGACGAATATCTTGCGTCAACTGCACTCCTCTGGGAGGCCATAGGTTGGGAGTTTGCTTATATGAAAGAGCAACGACATGAGCCTCACTATATGATTGAATTACTATACCTCGGAGTTGCGGGGTTAATCAAGACGTGAGGTTTAATAAACTTCCAATGAATGCCCCTTTCCATCACTTTACTCATTACAGAAAGCATAGATCATGGATATACAATTTGAATATCTGAGCGATTTGAGTAAGGAATCAACCCGCAGTTTCAACAAAAGTTTAGTATGAACCAGCCAACTTTTCCTGAAATGTTAACAACGCTGGTTCCGTTATTTGGTGTCGCGCTTACCTTACGGTGAATGGATGGCGATATTTATCTTGCATCTTGCTGCCGCGTGCAAATTACTTGAACAAAATTTGTTTAGTGTAACGGGTGACTGGCTAAATAGAAGCAACCTCATTTTGTACCAAGCTGTACATAATTACATCTTATTACGTTTAGGGTCAAGACTTTTCTAGAAAAGTCACACTCATTACATATACTCAAGGTATTATAGCACAACGTCATTTCAAAGCCACCGAACTCACTGTTGACTTTGGATTCAAGGATTAGGACTCGGTGATTATGACATATTTTAAGCCCACATTTATAGACGGCATTTTTCTAGAAAAGCTACATAAATGTTCATATACTCGAGGTATAGCACAATATCGTTTTAAGGCCATTAAACCCACTGTACTCTTCAGACTCAGGGGTTAGGACATACTTTAGGCCGCCCATTCATTGTCGATATTCAGGGCCGAGTGTCAATTGAGGGTTGGATATTGAGGCTGTAACAATTCTTATCACGGTTTGATAGATTTTTTAATTTGAAGATTTTGAAAATCTTGAAAACTGAGAGCATTGGAGATTCATAAAATTATGAAAATTCTTGATATCCTAAAAATTTTGAAAACTTCAGTCTTGAAACTTTTATAAATTTTGTTTTTTATGAAAACTTTCAATATGTTAAAAATTTTGGTAATTTTAGAATGCAATTTTTGGAAAAGCTGTATTTTGAAAATTTTGAAAATCACGGAATTTGCGAAAATTTTGTTGATTTTGAAAGTTGAAAATTTCCGAAATTAAAAACATTGAAAATACTGAAATTTTATTTTTTTAAAACCTTGATATTATTGGAAACTTTGTTAATAAAATAAGTTTTGAGAATTTTGAAAATTCTGAAAATTTTGAGACTCTTGAAAGTATTTTACAAGTATATGTAAAGTGCAAATGTTGAATCTCTACTTGACGGTAACTTAAGAGCGAATTATTATTTGTTTGAAATCCAAAAATTGATCAACCCTCACGGGTCGACTATAAATGTGGACCGTCACTGCTAAATGGAGCTGTAAAGACACCTTGTTAGTTCGATTTTGAGCTATCTAATGTTAGCAGAACTGCGAGGAGCATCTTCCGGCAAATTGTTCCGCAACCGCTTAACCCTAGGTACAAAGTAGTGGGTCTAACGGCCAGTTCTAGGTGTACGAAGTTAGATGGAGTTATTGAGAGGCAGGATCCTGGTGGGTCCAACTGGCAGGCTTAACGCTCGGAGTATTGATAGAATGTTTCTTATGGAGGTGCGAAGTTAACTAATAATATGAATTTGGTTTTTATTTTATGCTTCTTGGTTTATTTAAATGTTTATGAATCATAAACCATATCTAAGTGAAATAGCATAAATAAATACAGCTAAAAAAATAAGCGTATGAATAAGTCGAGTGAAACTTATAACTAACAAATAATTCCTTTTTTGATAACATTTTGGCATTGTAATGTAAAGACAAATTAATATTTTTTCTAAAGAAACTAGCAGCATACTCCTCATCCTCGTTGGTACTCTCTCATGTTCTCGAATAGCATGACCTATAATTCCAATAATCTTTATTTACTACTTAGTCGCAATTATGTAGATATTTGCAGCTGGATTTTTTTAATGATGTTTCTAAGGAGTTGAGGGATTATTCAAGTTAATAAATACTAGGATCGTATGTGGGAAGGACTTTATATTTCTTTCTTCAAAATGCGAATACCTAGCTTTTTTTTTAAATCCTCTTACTACAAACCGTAAGTACTAACATGAACTTTCAATATGCTATTTAAAATGATATATCACGCATTTTCACATTATATACTTTAATGAGAGTTTTTAAAATTAATATCGAATGCTTCTGAATTAAGTCGTATTACAATGATGAAATTCTATAAATTGGCTCCCGAACAAATTCTCTGTCAAAATGCTTTAAAGAAATAAAAGTTTTTGATTCAGTCTTGTAGTAATGGTATATAAAAAGCTGTCAGGGTACATTTCTCAAATTACTTTGCATCTCAAAAGTCTTTGAGAATATGAATTAATTTCGCTCATTTCCCACTCTGCGGCGGCATAATGAAGGAGAGCTCTTTTAGTGGGGCTCCTACAATCACGAGCACCATCTGCTGAGATAACGGGGGGGGGGGGGGGGTGGGGGGGTGAAAAGGAAACGATTGTGGGCTGGTCTTAGACGGTGGTCGGCGCTACTGTAAAAGAGGAAAGGATGACTGCGGGTGTCTACCGAGGTAAATTTTTATAATAACAGAGTCGGATTTCGATTAGCGATCTAGCCTGTAAATCGTTTCCTATTTTGGTACTCAGCTAGTGATCATTTAGTATTGTTCTACCCTTGTTACTGTTCGTCGATATTGTGTTGTTGGATTGTTGTGTTGTACTCTTGTTGGTGTGATCGTTCTTGAGTGAATCTTTTATCAAGGTTGATAATGGACAATAAAAGGTCATATGCTACCATTTTAATTACGAATTCAAAGACTTTAATTCATGATGAGGACAGTAGTATGGAGCAGTTCAACTCTATAATCGCTAAATATATTGGGGTAAGCGAATACATTATTGCAAGAAGAGGTCATACCATGGAGGATGTGCTGCAGCTGTAGTGAGCCACAATACCGAGCGGCCTGTCTATGTGGTCCAAATACATTTGCGTTCTAAGCTTACTCCAACCTCGCTTATCACTAAGATGGAACAAAGATTCAAACGCAAGAATCTTGGAAAGAAACTCAGACCAAAAAAAGTTGATATAAACTTAACTAACAATTCGGATAGCAATTCCCAAGGAAAATATATAATAGTTTTATGGCGAATTCTGCCAAAAAACTGACATGAACGACATTGATTTGGAGGTTGCTAAGCAAGAATTTTTAGGGAAACTTAGTAAAAGTGACGACGAGATTTTGCATATCGAACAAGTCACCAAATCACAGGACTGTGCTTTGTGGCGTCTTCATCGGAGGATAAGGTTGACAGCGTCTCGATTTGGTGAAGTTTGTAGAAGAAGGCAGACAACAAGCTATAAATTTCTAGTAAACTCCATCATATACCCAACAGAGTTTTCTAGTGAGGCAATAAAGAAGGCAATACAAAAATCATTGGACACGGCAGATCAATCTTGTGGTTTGTTTATTGATCGCACACATCCATTTCTGGCAGCATCACCTCCATCTACCTATTACAGTAGACAAGACATGTACTTAATCCAGGTAAAGCCTACCTGTTTATTGCTTTGCAAAAACTACCTAACTGTTTCCTCTTATTTTGACGGCATAAGATATTTTTGTGACCGTCGTTCAATTGTTATCATCTACCACACGACCCTTGTAAACATAATTGTGTTTATTGACATGAATAAACGAATTAGGATTTGAGTTCTTGAATTTATTTTAGGAAAGATATAAAATTATTTGAATACATTTTTTCTTAGTCGGAACGCACCGTCGCGTCGCTTGGACTGGCAGGACGAAGCAGTAGATGAATTTCGCCGAAAAACCGATTTGCACTTCACAGCTTACTTTTTATTATTTCCAAATGAAACTCTTGCAGCGTGCTAAAAACAAAGTCCACAGGGTGCCAGCGATCTACTTTTCGATTTTATCCTCTAGGATGTTTTTAAAATATCAAGAAGTTGAGCACAAATAGTGAGCATTTCAACCCACCATAATTCTTGCGCAAAGACAAAATTTTGTAAAAAGCTCTGATAGCACCCTAGGCAATTATGGCCTGCTTATATCCAGAAAAACATCACAAACTACAGAACACAAAAGGCAACGGCGAAATGGGTACATTTCACGGGTTGTGAAATTCAAATAAAAATGCAGGTATAAAATCTACCAAATGATCGTTCTCGAAAACATATTTCCTTGACATATCGATAATGTTAAAGTTCCACGATAAATTCCCCTATACCTGACTGGAGTGATATCCGAGTTTATTCTTCCCTACTGTCGGTAGTTGCAGATCTGTTGGCTGTTGGTGTCAAACCTATAGGGCAGGTACCGATTTTTTGAAATCGTGAGCACTTTATTCGTCGGATTTTCGATACTTAAATTTCCTGTAATCACTGGAATCAGAAGCTTCTTAGTAATAGAACGTGTTTCACTGATTTCAACAGTACAATTTTTTTATGTCAATGATTAGTAACCCCTGAAACGTCAAAAACGGAGTTTCAGCAATTGTTACTTTTCCTTTTTCGCATATAACACCGTTGCCACTGGACTAAAACTACAAAACTTTGGCATACTAGTGACCGCGTGTGGAAATTTCATAAAAATCCGAGCGGTAGTTTCCTAGTTGATGATGAGTGATACAGTTTTTCGTGATGTAGATGTCATATGACTTACAAAAACATAACATCTCATTTTAGAAATTTTTCGCGATTACAAAACTTCCTCCAATGACGTGGGAAGTAAAACGGCTTTGAAATCGAGGAGTATCAGCGATCGCGATTATGAGTACCTATTTTCAGGACTACTTATCTACGCGATATTATATGAAATAGGGCCACCAAATTATCTAAATACGTCCTTTCTTAGTCCGTACATTGCGCCGCAACGCTTGGTTTGGCTGCACGAAACAGTAGACAAAATTCGTCCAAAATACAGAGTGCTGAAAACAAAATTCCACAGGGTGCTATAGAGCCACTTTTTCATTTTTTCACTAGGTTCTTTTTAAAAAAATCGCGAAGTTGAACACTTCAACCCATCATAAAACTTGTGCAAAAACAAAATTTCAAAAAGTGCTCCTATAGCACCCTGGGCAATTATCTTTTCAACATACTGTATGAATTTCATTCAAAAATATTGCAAAATGGAGTGTCAGTTTTGAAGCAGCTGAACCCTTGTAAATGGCTTGAAACTCACTGCGTCGGAGCCGCCTTAAGCAAGGTCCGTTGGTTTTGATAGAAATTTAACACGAAAAACATAGATTACCGAAGTTGGATTTGATAATTGTGGAAGACACAGGCGCCATGATTTTGTTCCCTATTAACTTTATTGCTTTTGTTTGATAAGGACAAGTTAACAATTAAAATGTAAGAATTGAAATCCTTGCTTTGAGTTAATGAACTTTCCGTAGAAAAATACTGATAAGCGATTAGCGACACTTCACAAATTGAGGTCAAGTCATAATTGTCTGTTGGATTAAACTTTTCAAAGAACTTCCGTATAGAGAAATTGTATAAAATCAGCTGATTGTTAATTCTTGATTAATTCGACGTTGAAGGCAAAATAAGATAAGGGAATCAATAAAATATTAACATAAAAAAATGTTTATTTCATATTACCGGTGTTGAGTGGACGTGATTTTATTCATTTTATTATTGACCTGAAATGTAACAACAAACCGTAATGCACATTGCATGAAACTCTATTGTTTTGCTAGTTACTCATGATTTGACTTGTCAAAATGTAACTGTGTCACTTTTAGGTGTGCTATTTGTGCCTTTGTCTCTTCGAATGTGAAAAAATCGTATTCAAACAAACCTGTGCATGTGCCACCCTACTATTAGTTCACCTGTAAACAAGCTTTCATTTGTATTTGGAAGCCTCAAAATCTAATTAAAATTTTAAATTAGCATCTCCTTTTTATGTGTCTGTAATCTCTGATAATTGGGCTTCCTGTTTATATGGACAACACAAACAAGCGATCTTGTTTCTTATATAATTGAACCACTTATTTTTTAGCTCATTTTTTACCGAACAATGTTTGCTTTAAATGATTCATCAAATTGGTCTTCTATCAAACACTAATAAGCAATATCCTGACTACATATAAATAATTTATTACGTAATACAAATAACAGGTAGATGATATATTTTGGTACCAAACTCAATGCCTATGGTGATAAATTAAATGTTCCATGTAGAGTGATTCTCGTTGGTAGGGGAAGTAGACACTGAACAGTTATTAACCCACCAAAGATGAAAAAAAAAGGTTTTGAGGGTCTGGACGTGTGTTGGGCGATTTTGATAAAACTTTAAGACAATGCAGTGGCAAAAATAGAAGAACTTTGTAGGTTCTGAAAGTCGGTCCAGAAGCGGCGAAGTTATACGAAAAAGAAAAAAGGCAAATTCTCTCTGCGATGTTTTTCGCGTTCCACCTAATTTTTGAGTGTAGTAGAAATGGCTTTGTATGTATGAAATCTGAATCATTCCCCTCAAAAATGGACTGACTAGGTGCTAATTATGATTGGAGGGTTCAAAATCTGGAACGATATGTTCGTAGAACTCCATGATTTTCTGAACAAATCAAACCACATATATAGAAATTACTTTTTCCTGACTTTTGGGTCGCGAAGGTAATCTTTTCCAAAGTACAGATCAATGATAATTACTACATATTCTATATACATATATATTTATCCACCACCAACCAAGGGTAAGTATTCCCGCTTCCAAAAGACTTCCACACTTCAAATTGACAAGAGAGCATAACGTTATCTGTTGCTGATGCACCTGCATTCATCTGTATTTTAAAAAAATCACTGTGCTGGCGGAAACGTCAGTAAAAACTAGTTTTTACATATTTGGTTTCATTTGGACAAAAATTTTGAAGTACTATTAGCGTGAAAGTCACAATACAAGTTTCAGGAGTTACATTAACACATCTGTTCGTGTATACAGAGTCAATCGTTGTCTATTATTTGCTAATTATTGTGTATTATTAACCCAGTGTTTATAGTGCCGTAGTCTCAGCCTTCTTTTTATCTTGGTTCCTAGGTTGCATTTTTGGCACTCCTAAAGCACGTTCTGTGCCTTGGGACGTAGGTGACAACATGCCAACTCCCCTTTAGTATATGATTATTTTACCCACAACTGGTCACAAAACTGTCTCTCCTATTGCTCATCATGGCATTGACCTTGGTCTTGCTTTCTATGAACGATTGTGCCAAATGAGGTTTATTGATTGTTTATGAGCCACTTTCTACCTTTTCTACATGTGGAATAATATAAGCCCGATTTCATTTGGCGGAACATGGAACGTAGGTCTATGAACTTTCCACCCATTGTGTGCGCTGAGAGATGCTTATCATCCATTTGCTGCATTGTGTAGCGCTATACAAGAATAACAATAGACTCTAGTCTAAGAAGATACTCGTATACGAGTACGATATTCTCGGGTATGACCCGTTTAAGACGAATAGCAGTTTTGAACGCATCTAATTCTGCACAAAATTGAACTTACCTTAAAGTTTGCTGCTTTGATCTATTTTCAAACAACAGCATACAGCGCTATTTCGCTCTCTTTTGGACTTATCAGTACAGTTTCGTATTAATTGCATATTAATAATAATCAGTGACATGCAGATTTTTTCTTTTACCAAATTTCTGCCACGGTTTAGTTTCGTAAAATTTGGCTGTCAGTGTTAAGTACTATTTATTATCTATTTGCAAAAAGTTCATGAGCTACAGTTTATCAGTCTGAATATTTCTGTACAGTCCGATACGTGTTAATGTCTTTTAGTCTCGATTTATACAAAAAAAAATTAAAAAAGACCACAAATAAAAATTTCTGAATTCATGATAATAACGTTAATAAGGTTGATCGGTACTCCTCACATATTAGTATCTGTATTCATACTTATCCTCTTCACGTAACTGACTTTTAAGAGAACCGACCTTCCAGAAAATCGTTTACATTGAAATTGACCAAATAGCGCCTAGGAACATGGGTACATAGAAATTATGAGCACGATTAGCGATATCTGAAACCTGATTTGATAACTTTTCAGCAATCAACATTTTTTTATTCTGCGCTGAAGCGACTGCAGTCAACAATGATTAGCATCTCGGAATGCACAAAAAACTAATTTTGTTTAGTTTTCAGGGATCGGTCTTAACCTATCATTATTTGTTTTCTTCAGCTAATCTTTTCACTCTGAACAAGGCTCAGTTAAGACCTAGCCTTGAGTACTGCTCACGTGTTTGGGGTGCTGTCGCCCCAACTACATTGTCCTTGGTCGATGATGTTCGGAGGACTTTGCTCTTCAGAGGTCTCCTCTACGAGGTTGCCCCGCAATTAGCCTGCCAGACAGTACGCCTCCCATGCTAACCGTGTCGAACTTCATAACATATATCCACAACTGGCTAGTAAGATCGCTCCTTTGAGCCTAGGTCGAGATTGTGCGATAATTTGCCTGAGGCAGCTTTTTTCAGTTCTACTAGCTTAAGCACTTCGAAAATCCGATTAACAAACTGCCTTTAAGCTCTTTACATCAGACGCGGTGCTCCGTTACTAGCGCTTCTGCCGGCTTCTTCGTTATAAAAAAAAACCTTATGCCTGGTTGCGTTACTATAAAACTAGTTTTTGGAGTATTCACGAAAAAATATGATAAACTCCGCCTTTATTACTACTAGGCGTGTTACGTTTAGTTGTTAGGCTAGCTGTTGGGGAGAAATTCCACCTCCGACTGTCATGCTGTTAATACATTAAGATAGTGCAAGGGTAACGTTGAGGTCTTTCTTGATAAAGCCTACCTAAGTCTTGAATAAAGTGTTTCAGAACTATAACTTTAGCATGTGGATGTTTTTTGATCTGTCTACAGATAAGAGGCATTCGTCACTCGATATGCTCATTGTTGTTTTTTTACAGGAAGAACGTATGTATAGAAAGAGAAGAAAGTTCGGACGACAATGATGCTGAAGAGGTGGAAGGCAAGAAGAATGAAACTGAAACTGGCAGAGATGCTTTCTCTACTTCTATCAGATTATCAAACTGTTTTGAAATGCCACACAAGTATGAATGTATAACCAAGTAAGTAAACATGCTTCTATTACTTTTAACTAAGCTATTAGATTCGAACATAATCTCAGTCTCAGAGATACGCCGGGTGGTACCTCCACGCGCGACAGTGTGAGAACGTCTACTATCTACGGACAATCACAACCTCCATCCAAAACACAATATTACTAATATACTGTTTACTACAAGTAAATATATTATTGTTATAGCTTGTATTGATATGTACCAACATTTTGACAGCTTCAAAGTTCCATGCCATTTGAGAAGTTAGATTTATCTGAGAATATAATATCATATAGCAGCGGTATCTCTTTCCCTCAGTGATGCAGATATTATGTCGACTTTAATCTAATAGTGTTGCCGGATGATAAGGAAACTCTCAAATACACTATATTTCAAAGTCGAACCAAATTAAATGGCAGTGTATCATTTAGTAAAAATCTATACATACATCGAGATGGAGAAAATCACTGCTGTCCTTGCACATTAGACTATTCGAGCCGTTTTACACACTCCGAAAATTATGGTCATAATTATGCCGAAAATTTGAATGGAAAAAATATTGAACATTTTCTCTAAAACCTGTATGACACAAGCAAACACAATTTCGGAGTAATTCATATGATACGCCTGCGTATTAGAGTAATATTTTCGAATGGACATAACCTTAACGGGTATGACGTCCAATATAATCGGAAAGTCAACAGACATCGTTGATTTAAATTTATTTTTGAAATAGAGATCTTGGTTAATATTATAAAACTTCTCAATGCTTGGACTATCGCATCCAGCGCCTGACGCCACAAATTTCTGTCTTTGTAATTGGGTGACTTCACCTTGTACAGATTTGGCTATTTTTGGTACTCCTTCAACAACAGTGTAACTTCTTCGCTTCTTCCCGATTCCACGACATTATGAATAAACAATAACAATAAACGCTCCTTCATACGACTCGAACAGGACCACACCCACAAATGTTAAGTGAGGTTATGTTGTTGACGTTGACATTTGATATTGACATGCACGGAAAAACCCTCTGCGCCGATTCTCGCACATATTCTATAGAACGGGTTTTATATTTTTACCATGAAAATTTTCATAAGAATTCTTTTAAGTGTAATTCGACAGCAAAAATTTTCGACATAATTATGACCATAATTTTCGGAGTAATTCTCTTGTGTGTGAAACGGCTCTTCGACTGTATGCCCTTCGTGATTTAAAATCCTTAGTAATGGCATAATTCTCCACCAATGTAAGTAACGTGATATTTTACTATACAGAGTGTAAGGTTAGTACTGGATCAACCGAAGTCAGATGATACAGGGCCTCAAAATGAACAGCCCTAAACCAAATGGCTTAATTGTAATTGCGATTGAAAGTTTATCATCCCGTTTTTTTCGAAATTTCACAAAATTGCATCTAACTCCTGAACTATAAAATTTCGGATCACACATATAGGGGTTCATTTGATATGGTTTGAGGCGCTCTATCACCTGACTTCCGTTGATACACTACTAACTTTACACCTTGTATTTATCGCAAACTAATGTAATCTTCGAGGTTTTTCCCTTCTCCATCATTTCTAGTAACAAGGTGTTTAAATCGGTGCATTAAGCGCTTGAAATAATGTAATTGTTACTTAATCGTTTCACTCCATACTTGTTTCGCGTACTTTAAGCAAAATAATCGAATTTCTGGCGAGCCTTCACGCTCCACTGCTCGCAGCCGCCTTTTAAGAGCAACGACGATTGTTTAAAAATAACGGTGGCCTTTCGACAAAACAATGCTGATAACCTAATGATATTTTTTGCTGTCGGCTGCTGTTTTCTTGCAACTTTAAACAATCTCATGTAAATAAACATAACAAAATTATGACAAAACAAGTACGTACATACTTTGTAAAATGTCATTGTAGACACAGCATATTTTCGGGATAGGGTTGATGTCCTCAAGTTTTTGTCCTGGTTTGTCAGATGCTATAGTGTCAAATTGCGCGTAGACCACATCTACTCTATACCGACAGAATCGTCAGCCTCTAGCGGTCACAATTCTGACTGGACTATCAAACGCTAACTGAGATATGCATAGTTCCAACGATAGCTGCTATTCACTCTCGCAATAGTCGATTCAGGTGATAGATACTTTTGGCGTCACGTATACAGGGTGTTTTAAAAGTTGAGTCGTTTATATTAACAGCTTATAGAACTCGTCAAAAGAAGTTGATACACCAAAAATCACCTATACAAAAGTTACATAATAGTAATTATTAATTATTATTAAAAAAATCATTAGCAATTTAAACTTACACCGCTTTTATAAAAACTATTCAAAATTGTCCCCGTTTGTCCGATTAACGCAAAATCTTGCCTAGCGAATCCACGACTCTTTACAAGCTTCGAAAATAAAATCCTCGTGTCTACGAATTAAATCACAAACATTTTCAGTGAGCTGTTGAAGTTCTTACAGAGTATTTACTGCTCCATCATGATGCATCAATTCTTTCAGATAGCCCTACAGAAAAAAAATCGCAAGGCGTTAAATCCGGGGAGCGAGCAGGCCAAGAAAATAGTCCATTACCTTATCCATCTATTCGGAAACTCAGTATTTAGATGCTCATGAACTTCTCGTCAAAATGTGGTGGAGCCCCATCATGCAGGAACCACATATTCTGTCTCACATTTAGAGGGACATCTTCTAATAATTGTGGCAGATTGTGTCGAAGAAAAGCTAAATAAATTTTACCGGTCGGTCGAGATGGAAAAAACAAGGGTGTAATAAACATTCCATTTACCCAAACATTTAATGTATATCTATGTTGAAAATGAGTTCTTTTTACAGCATGCGGGCACTAGCAACATGTAACCCTTCTAGGATGATCTTCAGGCTGTAAAGCTTATAACCGTTGATAATACTCGTAATAACGATAATAGTGTTCTTGTCATAATGTCTTCCACACTTTACTATGAGAAACTTCAACTTGAGCTGCTATGGCTCTAGTACTCATTGTTGGGACGTCTTCGACCATTTCTAAAATGTCTTCCTCATTTTGTAGCGTCTTCTAGCGTGACCTTCTTATTGTTCTTTTAAATATCCTGTGTCACGAAGTCTAATAACTAAATTTACAAAGATCCGAGGAGCCGGATGATTTCTTAAAGGAACCTTCCCGGAAACAACCTGCATGCTGCGACTACATTTCGTTGGCACTCTTTGTATGTTAGTATTTTGTCCACTAGTTCACTTTTTTCATAACACATCTTTTAACACAAAATAATCAGACAAATGAAAGTATACGCATTATTGAAAGACTGAAACAACTGATCGAACCAAAGAATCGTACTGAAAACCATACAATAACACTAAAGGTTTGCCAAATTTGGATAAACGATGAGGGTAGTAAACAAAAAAACTCTAAGATTTTACAAGGCAGTGGTCGAAAATATCAAAAAATCTATGTAGTAACATTCTTATTTTTTAAAAGTTTTAATCTTACTATTTGGTTTGTTATGCAACTTTATACAGGGTGACTTTGAAGTTGAGTCATTAATTTTCAGATAATGATTGTAGAAGGAAGATAAACCAAAATATGTGTGTAAAAATAAAAAAAAAATAAAAAAAATTGTTTACCTTGTTTTATAAAGTATCCTCCCGACAAGTATTTCAGTGCGGACCTGTATTTGATCGTGAGGTCCCCTGTGAGGTCTTAAGTCACCTGATTCACGAGCCCGTTGTACTAAATTAACAAAGGCACGAGGGGTTGGTTGCACTCGATTGGGAAACCGATCCGCATAAACATGTGCCATTTTTTATTTCGTTTGAGCCACGCAACAGACACTATTCACACGCGACACTGACAGTGACTGTATGTATAACTGAACTGAATAAAATAATAAACTGTACACAAACATCGTTCCAAATTCCTTCGCTTTTTTGTTTCCGATGCGATGAACCGGTAAGGCGGATTATATCCGTTGTTGCCAAACACGAGCACATGATATTGAGACAGGGCGGTACTCAAACTTCCAAAGGGCTATAACTTTGTTACTTTAATTTTACCAGAAAAATGGTAAAGGAAAAAAACATTTCTTTTGATCAGATCTATTCACTGTTAAAATAAATGACTCAACTTCGAAGTATATGGGTGATTTTTGGTATATCGACTTAACTTTGAAAACACCCTGTATAAGTAACTACTGGACAACTCGTTCTTAAATTATAGCTACCTGTTGCAGAGCGAAGAATACTCAAATAGTTCGAGTTATTGGAAATACCATTAATAGTTAGGAGTGGACTTGATATAGAGTATTTTTTACGAGTATCCATTACGTGAGTCGTATTTTGTTGTGGTGTTCTGTACTCTACTATTTACCAAACCGCTTACACGTATTTTACTTAGAAAAGTTACTTTGCACAGAAGAAAAACCTCTAAGAGCAAAATAAGCTGGTAATGATCATGACTACATTTCAACTAGGGTAACTATAAAACAATATAGACTGTGTTTGTGCTTTGACAGTTCTGAATACGGTCCTGAGTTTTACCCCATTTACACCTGCTTCATTATTGCCAATGCTGTAAATTTTAGCAAAAAGATATAATTTATTGATAGTCGTGAAAAATAGTCTATTACGCATTCAGCATTATGGCTTGGCACATAATGCCTTGCCCACTTATGCTACATCCATAATTCTATATATATACTAAGTGACATATAAATCCGAACACCCAGTTTAAATGGTTTTATTTTAATAAAAGTTGATGAATGTATTTATCTTACTGTAAGTAACAAGTAAAAAATTTTCAGCCTTATCTGTTGGACATTCCGGTTTTTATACTGCTTTTTTTTAATCCACCAACGCTCTAAAAATGAATATTTCAGCCGCAGTAAAGAATCAGCGTTGGCGGATTTTGGTTCTTGACATCCTTTACGATCGGTTACGATGCCTAGAGTACGGAGACCTGTACGATTTCGTCAACTTAGTGAGTTTGATAGGGGCCGTATAGTGGGACTTCGGGAAGCTGGACTTTCTTTTCGGGCAATTGCAGTTAGAGTGCAAAGAAGTGTAGACACTGTGGTTAGGTGTTGTCAGGCATGGCTTCGGGAAGGCCGTACGCAAAGAGCAAGGGGCACTGGACGCCGCCGTAGAACAACAGACCGTGAAGATCGCCGCCTAAGATTATTGACCTTAAGGGACCGTTTCTCCACTACCAGGTCCATTGCAAATGAATGGTTTGCAGAACACGGAAGACCTATTGGCATGCGAAGTGTTTTGGCTTGTTTTCATACCGGCCACACTGGGTCCTCCCTTTAACTCGAGAACACCGACGTAATCGCCTTGAGTGGTGCAGACAACGGTCACTCTGGGATCAGGAATGGAACAGTATTGTCTTTCGTGACGATTCTCGATTTTGTTTAGGCATGCACCATGGTTGTGCCAGGGTTAGAAGGCGACGTGGTGAAAGGAGGAATCCACAGTTTTTTGTTGAAAGACATGTTCATCACACTGTTGGAGTTATGGTTTGGGGTGCTATAGCTTATGGCTCCAGGTCACCTTTAATCTTCATCAGAGGTAACATGAACGCGCAGCGTTATATCCACGAAGTTCTAGAACCCCATCTTTTACCCTATCTTGACACCCTGGCAGATCCAACTTTCCAACAAGATAATGCCCGACCACATGTTGCAAGAGTCACAATAGACTTCTTTCAACATAATGATGTCACATTGTTACCATGGCCTCCAAGATCTCCCGACTTATCCCCAATTGAGCACGTGTGGGATATGATGGTAGGAGATTGCTCAATTTGCAACGTCCTCCTCAGACTCTAGAAGTACTTCGAGAGGAGTTGGTGGTTGCCTGGAATGAGAGCACAGCGAACTTTTCAATGAGTTGGTGTCTTCAAAAAGTGCAACAGTTTTTATTTTAATAATGAACAATACCAAGAGATGTTAGAATCAGTCAAGTTGGCAAAAAATGCAAAAACTAAGACTACTCTACAATATCTACGGTTAAAGAGATTTGACATATGTTCTGTGAGAGGCGTTGAAAAGCTTACTGCTCGTGTATCATCAGGTGAATCTAGTATAAAATATTATGTTACAAACGACGAAATGTTTGACATTTTGCACGATGCACATTTAGCTATAGGACATGGTGGAAAACATCGTATGGAAAGTGAATGTAAGAAAAAGTACAAGAATATAACTCAAGATGTTATTAAGTTATATCTGCGCTTGTGTGAAGGATGCCAAAAAAACCTAAATCTGCCAAAAAAGGACTTGTGCTTAAACCGATCGTTTTTTCGGAGATGAACAGCCGTTGTCAAGTGGACTTGATTGACATGCAAACACATCCAGATGGAGAATATAAATTTTTCATGGTGCATTAACATCGAAAAGGGCTGAGGAAGTAGCTAAAAGCCTGATAGATATATTTTGTATTTTCGGCGCCCCATCCATACTACAATCGGACAACGGCCGTGTCATTGAAGAGTTATGTACAATGTGGAGTCCATGGCAAACCACGTCATAGTTAGTCACAAGGCAGCGTGGAAAGAGCGAATCAACATATACAAAATATTCTGTTGATGTGGATGGATGTTGAAAACTGCAGACGATGGTCAGAAGGTATAAGATTTGTCCAGTTAATGAAAAATAGGGCATAGCATGACGGGATAAAACAAGCTCCTTATGCTGCCATTTTTGGGCATGATATTAAAGCTCTTCCTATCCACATCAGCGTTTCCAAAAGAAGCTATTGAAAATCTACGAACCGAAGAAGAGCTCGAGAAAGTTAAGGAGGAAATTAGTGTAGGTGAAGAGCTTCAAGAAGAACAAAATGAATACCAATCTATGGACAGTAACCCAGAAACATGCAAGAAAATATTACTGATGATGGAAATATGCAAAATATCAACAATAATTATAGAGAAAACGCTGGTAATATGGAAACTTCAGATAATCAGGGGAAATATTCAGAGTGTGACAAACTAAGTACATCAGGGAATATATGTTGTGAACTTTGTTTGTGCCAAAAAAACATACGGTCAAACAGCCTACAGGCAAAACGAAATTTAGAAAATCAAGCAAAGAAAACAAAAGCTTTGTCTAATTCAAAGTTTCCGCCATGTTCTGTTGGGGATACAGTGAGAGTGAAAATTCCAGACGTTGATAGAGGGAGGGGTGATTTTAGAAATATTCTCATGATATCGGTAATATTTATTACCATAATATGTGGAGGTGTCGATAACATATCCTATGATAAAATTGAATTTTCAATAGTTGACTAAGGCACACAGATTTCCAAGATTGATGTAGTTCATTCCTCTCTTTTAGCTGGCGTTTTGAAAAAATCTATCGTTACACATAGAAAGAGAACCTGAATCTTAAAAGAACTTACTCTGGAGCTGCTTATATTAGAATTTTTCATGAATTTTCTGTTCAAACTTTGTCAATCTTTTGAGATTTCCCTTTCATAGATAAAGGTGAAAATACAACTTTTAGAAGCAGTTCTCATAATAATATTTCGTCAACAATATCAGCTTCTTTATTATCTATAGGTATTTTAAGTTTTGCTATGACAGAAATATCCAAGAAGGCCATTCACTGAGTATATTGCAAATATCAAACTATATTTTTCAGGATAAACAACCACGGAGTAGTGAAGACGTTCACAGTCCGTTACAAGTGTTGCTATGGCTACCAGCGTGAGAAGGGTGCCAACGAGTGTACCAAACAACGCGATCTGAAACCTCTTCTGGAAACGTTGGATGACCTGAAGACCAAGGACTTCAGAAATATGATAAAATCCACCAGTTTGGACGAGAAATTCTCTGAAGGCAACTATTCCCTATTCGTACCAACTGACGATGCTATCAATGAATATAATGAAAGGATTGCCGAGTCGGTGAGTGACCTTGTAACCATCGATCAGAGGCGGATCCAGAGAATATTTTTGGGGACGGTCCATTATGGTGAATTTGAAATTAAATTAAAAAGTGCTGGGGGAGGGGATATAATCTCAGGACTTCTGTTCAGGAAGGTGTTCGTTTCGGGGGATGGAGTTATTGGAGATTAAACATTTAAGAGCTTAAGTGGATCGGCGATTCAAAATTTGGAGGGGGGGGGGGGAGGGGGTGAGAGAACGAGAGAGAGAAGTTGACCGTATATTGAAAAGCACACAAAAAATTTTGAGCTCTGATATTTCGAAGAAGGTTCCGGAATCTTTCGACATCCCCCGGATTGTCCATTGCCATCAATTCTCAATTTACATCAAACTTCTTCCCCTGAAGAGTCCTCTCGGAACATACTAAAATATGCAGGGCGTTTCATTAAAAAAAAAATCCGTGTACAAGTAAGCATCGTGCAGTTGCGCAAGTTTTTTGTAACAAACTGTTTTAGATTCATTTAAAAAGCAGTTATCGCCGATTACACACTAAGAGTTCTCCCTGTATATAAAGAAAATACAGATTACTTATAGTAAAAATATTTACGCCTCCAGTTAACCCAGTGTTACTGGTTGCCGAGAGCTACAGGGTATTCCGGCGGCACAGCAGCTGGATGATGATTCGTGACACAGTTATGGATTTACAGTATAGCATGAGTAGGTTATCACTAGCTTTCATGGTAGTCTTTCTTTAATTTTAAAATTAAATTTTATGTTTGGAGCATGTAAGTTTGATTCAAATTTATATTTGTTTTTGCAGAACAAAGTGGATGCCAACCGTCGTCGCCGCAATATCAAGCACAACGTTTCTCCAAAAGAAATGGTCCTTAGCCACGCAGTAGAAGGTTTTGTCGACTTAACGGAATATTCAAATGATGACGTCATTTACAGGTATTTTAACAGACCTATAGTATAGGCCTTTTCGCAGTTTTTGGCTGGTCATAGTAGAACATCTTCCGTACACATACATAAAATGCAATCGGCCTCTGTGAGCGGACGTTTGTTTGTGTAAACTCACAGACAAACGTTTTTTTCAATATTGTCTCACTGCAATAAATTCTTATCGTCATCGGACGAGTCTTCCACACTTATGCTTGTCACTGTTGCTTGCTTCTCATGGGCGTGTGATTTGTGTTTATCCGTGTTGATCTCCAATATAAAACTTAGTGGTGCGAAAAGATAAAGCTACAAAGTTCAACAGTATCTATTAGAACCATTTTGCCTTGGGGGAAGTTAAGCTACGTATGTACCTGATACTATTAGTCAATCTATTTACTTATTTAGTATGGCATTGTGATGTAGCCACCAAATACCATGATATAACTATTAAGCTTATAATACAAAAGTCATAACCCTTGATAGGAACATGGTTAGAGAAGAGTATATCTCTTTTGATGTTATTATATTTATATGCTCCCAACCTCGGTAATTCTACGCACCTATTAGCCACATCTCACATCTCATGACTTCCCCGTAGATTTGCCTTTAAAACTTAGAATGGATGGTCTAAGTATATGGGCCTGTTTGACTGACTTGATCCGTTTAATTTTTCTGATATATATTTTCGTAAGTGACTTTTTCTTCAGAGGCTCTAGCTTGTGCTGAACATAATCCTTTATGAACTGATGACGGCGTTATTTGGTAAGTGCTGAGTCAACCTACTTGATGCCGTGTTTTCTGTTTTCCAGCGACAACAATAACAGTAGTATCAGGATCAACTTTTACCCAACGAACAGAAACGAAAAACTGGTGACGGTAAATTGTGCTCGTATCAAGAGGCCAAACATATTTGCATCAAACGGCATTGTGCATGTTGCTGACGGAGTAGTCGTACCTGCTACAGAAGACATTGAGTCTATCATCAAGAATCATCCACGGTTGACCAATTTGAGAAAAGGTAAGTTTGGATTTAATGTATCCTAATATTTTACTTAGCACTGTGTTATGCTTTTATTTTGTAAGGACTCTACGGTTTTATGGTTGAAGTATACTTTGGAGTGATAAATTAACATACCAGAAATGTTAGTGTCTAATATTACGATATCTTGGAAATAACAGAAATATAGAAATCATTGCTGTATAATACTTTTTGGAAAATTGATGTTTATCATATTACTTTCTCATAAGAAAAATTGTATTGACGCATATTTTAAATATTGAAAGATTCAATCTTTTGATATTAATAAGTTCTAATGATGATATGGATAGACATGTATTCACAACTTTCATTTACTTTCAGCAATCGAAAACTCAGACATTCCTAAGAAAATGAAGCCTGATGGCCACTATACTGTGTTTGCACCAACAGACGAAGCTTTTGCTAAGTTGGATGACATTCAGAAGCAGAAAATAATCAATGGCGAACTATGTGCTGCAAGTAAGCATATTTATTTCACTTTTTGCGCTAGCTTACATTTTCATAAAAAAATATTTTTCACGATTCTAAGAGTAACTTTTTATTTCAGGTATCTTGAAGCATCATTTCACAGCTCACACAATATGCTCCAAAGCTATTGTTGGCAACGCCACAACGCATAACGTACAAGGAGACTTGTTGAACCTGGAGAGAACTGACGATGACGAAGTACTGTTTGAAGGAAAAGCCAAAATCGTTGAAGCTGACATTATTGCAACGAATGGAGTCATTCATCTGATCGATCAAGTAATCATTCCTGATTCAGGTACGGATCGCCACTTGATAGATGGATAAATATGCCTAGGAATGACATAATTCTTATTGACAGGGCTAACTTAAAAATAAATATAACAAAATTACATACATATTATGTAGACCCCTAGTAAATGCACAGTAGCGTACACAAATGTTTGATATGGTTTATTTAAGTTCGCGACGGATATTCCAGGTAGGAGGATATTGTCTTAGTGGAGTCAATTTCTCGTCATATTTGTGACGTAGATGACCAATCAGTTGATGTCCTAATGAGGTTAGTAACCTTGGAGAGAGGCGAAAAAGAATCGAATTTTCCTAAAATCGTTTTAGTGTTTTCCTGACTTTATTTGTAGTGAAATATAAAGATTAGTTGCACACTAACATTGCCATTTTTTCCCTCTATAAGATGGCATAATCGGAATTTTAATATGACGTTTCGTCTATTGTCTTCTAGCATCAACTTCATTTCTTCCTATGGACGCCATATCGGAATTTTTCACAGATAGAATTTTTTATTCTGATTCCAAAAATGTAACGTGTGATACATTGACATTACCAAATCTTTGAAAAAAGACAGAATTTTCTAGGTAGGCCTTGAAAATAGATAGCCATTTGTTTCATATACCAGATGTATCGCCTATTGATTCTTATTTTTGTCATAACTTTATTTGAGATGGGATTTCAAAATACCTAAATTACTTGTTGTCCACTTTTTGTCCTCTACAAGATGGTGTAGTCAAATTTTTAATTACAGGTTTCTTCTTTCCAATTCCCTCACCAACTTTGTTTTTGCATATGGGCGTTATATTGGAATTTTGTACAATTAAATACTACTAGGAATAATATTACTTTAGTTAAACACGTGGAGCTTATCTTGACGTAGGTAAATGTACTATATTCATAACTAAATGTGGAATCAATAATTGTGTTTGATCAATAATTTCAATAGGGAGCCCATAAGAAAAAAACAAAGTTGAGGATGGAGATCGCACGCAGAAACGTCTAAATGAGAATTTGACGACTCCATCTAATAGAGTAGAGACAGTGGGAATAACAACAAGCAATTTATTTTAACATCCCATTTCAAATATAACCAGAAAATAAACAACGATTTTTCAATAAATCCGGTATATGAAACAAATGCCTATCTGTTGATTTCAAAGCCTACCTAGGAAATTTGATTTTTTTTAAATAACTAAGGTTTGGCAACTCCCATGTATAATATTATATATTTTTTGAATCAGAATTGAAAAATTTATTTATCTATGCAAAAATCCAAAGTGGCGTCCATTAGAAAAATATAAAGTGGATTCTGGAGGACTAGAGACAAAAATCTTGTAGAGGATAACAAGATACTGTGATAATGTGCAATCTATTTTCAAATCACACTGCGCATGAAGTCAGGAGCAAATTAATACGTTTTTGGGAAAATTCGTTTTTTCCCTCTCTCCCCAAAATTACTTTGAATTTCAAAACTTGCCAATCGGAATCTCATCAGCTACTTAAATACGCAACTTTTTCCTCTGATAAACCACTTCGAATTTCATACCGTTTCCGAGATCCCAATGATGAGGATCGAATTTGAAACACTATAAATGTGAATGTCTGTTCAGTCTGTGAGCACCACGTCTAAGCCACAATACGAAGGGACGTAAAAATTTGTAAACTAACTAATTAGTCCGAGGAAGGATATTGCCGTGATCTTATCCGAGAAAATACACAGAGTGAGCAAAAGTATTGGCAGATAAAAATATTTAGAAAAATATGTTTTCTAGAGAAAAATGTTGAACAGAGTTGTAAAGCCTCAAGAGATGCTTCTATTCGTTCATTCATTTCAAGGTCAAGTACATTTTAAATGTAAACCTCTATTTTTGAGACCGGAAATAAAGAGAGCAAGAAACGTTATGTCCTTGACGGAGAACATTAATTATCAATTATTTCTGAATTACTAATTTGGGAAAATTTCAAACCCAAGTATTTCCTTGCTAATGAATCTGTCAATGACCCTCAAGGTCATTTTAACGTCAGATAAATTTACCTTTTGTCGAAAGCGAAACATTGAAAACAATGTATTGTTGCGTCAAAATGTTGGATAAAGGTAACTATTTCATTACTTTTGATATTGCATTTATTTTTCCGAAACCATTCAAATCCGCGCTAATGCGAAAAGAATGACAATAATTTGCACTACTGTCACGCTAGCGGAGCCGCAGGCTTAGTTTAGTAAGCTATAAATGTTGATGAACATTTCAGGTTTATCTATTGGCAGCGTTCTCAACCACCAAAACTTTACGAAATTCCAAGAGATGATCGAAAAAGCGGGCATGAAAGAAGAAGTGAACAGTTTGCAAAATGCTACTGCGTTTGTACCACCAGACAGAGTTTTTGAATCACCAGAAGCTCAGAAGATACTTGAGGAAGCCAATCCGGATAAGCTTAAAGAGATCGTAAGGTACCACTTTGTCCAGGGTTTGCTTCCATCTGGAGACATGAACAATAACGTTATGCTGGCGTCTAAGGATAACGAACTACCTTTGAGGATCAACTTGTATTCGACTGTAAGTTTTTGATGTAACTCGCAAATTATCTTTCGTACATATTCATCCCCCAATGATTATCATTTTGGTACTCGGACCAATAGCAGTAAGAGGTATGCCGCTGTCTAGAAGATAACAGTATAAATAATAATAAATGGTTTTTTTTGTTAAGATAGGCACACAGAAAAATATACATACACAGCTCCAAAACTTATATTATTAGAGTGTAGCAAGATCCGCTCTTACATTCAACCGAATATCTTTTCGAATGGGAAAAGATATACATATTTAAATGAAAAGTTCAAAGTCCTTATCCCTCTTGACATAGATGCTGTAAAATATGATAGAACTTGTATTTTGAGAAAATGAGTATCCATGCCGTATGTACCACTTTCCACGTTTTCTGACCGTTAAATAAAACCTTGCGTATACGAGCCCCTTCACACTTAAGATGGCCCACTTCAAGATTTGTAAGAAAATATGCCTTTATAAACTAAACATGACGAAACTATTTACTTCTAAAACAATTTATTTTCTCAAAAACATTTTAGATACACTCTAGTCGTGAAAAATACATATTTGAAATCACTTAGACCTATAACTAACAGAACATATGAACAAATAAACAATGTGCGAATAAATGCGCGAAGTTAACACAGCAACAATTGAATGATTACCATTGGGTAACATCACCTTTATTTTTTATTACGGCTGAAATTCTTTGGGGCATAGTGTTAACCAAGCTTTGGCAAAAATTTGGTGTAAAACAATCGCATATTTCTTAAAGCTTTTGTCTCAGTTCGGTGATTGTACGAGCAGGATGCTGTCGTAGAACCTTTTTCATGCCGTGTCACAAAGTTTCAATAGGTGACAGATCTAGACTGCTACAAACCGATTTCAAAAGTGGTACATTACTTAATAATAATAATAGACGTCTTTATTTATCCACAATTACATTGTAGTATAGCCAAATATAGACTTATATGGCGAAGTTTAGCATGCTGCTACTCTTACACTTAATCATATAGTCTCTAGCAGATGTTCAAAAGAATACACTATCCACAAACAGATTTGGTTCATTACATCGAAAGTAAAATTTAAAAAAGAGAAAAAGGCATACTTTCCAAACCCAAATGCACCAAAAAATTATTAATCTGAATTAAACATGGAATAAAAAAGAAATGAATGTTTACGTAAATTATATGTTTGGAGGGTTGAGTAATAATGTTTTAACTTTTTGTCGAAAGACAGGTAATGAAAATTCATTATATACTTTAGGAAGGTCATTATAAATAATAGCGACATTGTAAGAAAAACTGCGTTTAAAAAGTGTAGACGTATGCAGGGGTAATCTAATATTATTTTCTCTGATAGTTCTACAGTGAACATCATTATTAAATGAATTTTTTTCCTTCAAGTACTAAGGTTTAGACGTGAGCAGCAATTTGTGAACAAAAACTGAATAGTGATACTTGACCATGTCATTAATTTTTAACCAGTTTAGAACGGGATATTTCGCTGACTTGATCAAATTTACGTAAGCCAAAAATGAATCGTATGCAATTGTTTTGAGGTATGGCACGCTGCACCATCTTGCTGAAACACAAAATCTTGGCCGGATGTCAAACATTCTTCCATCACTGGTAAAATCGATTCTTCTAAAATTGCCAAATATTTTTTTTTATCCACATTTCCATCAATAAAATGAAGTTTTCCTACTCCTTTTAATGATGCCCCAGACCATAATGGATGCTGGAAATTTCACTTTTCTCTTCAGACAGTCAACATGGAATGCTTCATTTTTTTGCGAATAACTCTACTGCGACTGTCACCAACACAAGCTTCGAATCGTTGAGGTGTCCATTGTCTATGTTCTTTAGCCCATCTAAGTCGATTTTTCTTTTGCAGTGGAGTTAATAGTGGCTTTTCTTTGGCCTATAAACAAGTTGTGCAACTTTAGGTTTTTTACTTCACTTTCTTGTATAAGAAAACTTAACGTGCAAGTGCTAAATCCCAGTTTGTGGGCCTCTCTATGAGTTGTGGACCCCGAAATTCTCCTTCCAACAGCAACACAGAGCACTTAATTGTAAATAATTGGCACGCCTGTTTTTTACGATTATTCTTCTTAATGCTCTTCGGTCGGCATTTGTGATATTACTTTTTTTCACATATCGTGGCTTAATTTTAACTGAACCAGTTACGTTACATCTTCTAACAATATTTCTCACACTGTACCGCGATAAGTCTAACAAAATTGCAATTTCTGAGTTTGATTTCCCAGAATTAAAAAATTTAATTATCGGTAACCGAATTTTCTCACTAATAACCCTTCCTCTACCCATTTTGAAAACCTTAACTACCCAAAACTATTTTAAACGTATTCGGACAGCTGTGATTAATAAAAACAATTGTCATGGCTTTTATTTTTCACAGCCACCTAAGCGTTATAGACTTATTTTGAATTGAAATGAAAATAGGTTGATATGCTGTAATTGCAACGTTTTTTTTTTATACTCCAACTACCACGAAGGCCTAAGGCCTAAACACCCATTGGGTACCGTGGGGCTATAGGGGGATACAGGGGAAAGGGGGGACGCCACACGGACTCTGGCGAGGGAACACGTGTGCATGCAACATGCACACATTCTGGCTCCGCCTACGAGATCCGCCGGGTGGTACCTCCACGTTCGACAGTCAGAGACCGTCTACCACCTACGGACAATCACAACATCCATAGCTAAGAGAAAAATTTCTCCTGGGACGGGACTCGAACCCGCACAGCGCACGGCGACTGATCAGGAGACCGAAGAGTCTACTACTGCGGCCACCGCTGCTGATGTTATTTTTATGCTGTAAATTTGATTAGGGAGTGATAAAGTTGGTGTTTTCTACTATATATTATCAAAATATTAATTGTTAATATTTTAAACCTATAACACCCTGCTATATTTTTATTATTTGTGTTCGATAATAAAAAAACTAAGATTTCAATAGTTGGGCCAACTGAAGTGGGAAGGAGCTCGTAGGTTTGAGTTTGTAATAATTTTATATTTATCTGTTTTCCACAACGAATTCGTATAAATTAGAAGGAGTTGAGCCTAGATGTGTTCACTGCATTGTTTGTCGCCAAACTGCCTGGTTTTAGTCCATATTTTTGACTCATATGCCTGCCAGTGCACACCAAAGTTATATCAACATTACAATAATACCTGTCGGTGGAAACATCTAGCTTCTTCAGGCTTGCGCTGCTCTTTGCAAATTATGGAAGAACTGCCATGTCTTGAAATCGTCTAACACCCCAATTATCTGCAAACACTCACACCTTTAAAAAATAACGCTAAAAAGACGAGTCTAATGACAGAACTGTAAGAAAATTGACCTATGTCAGCTGCACTTTGATCCTCACTACAGACCATAAGAATTAGAGGACAAACAAATCCTTGACTGGCTCGTAATATCTAGTCTGAATTCGTTGTCGAGATCGCGCAAAGCCATCATTACAATACTTTTAAAACGGCACCAGTGGGTTTGCATGTCTTTGGATGCGGAAATACCTAACCCAGGCAGTCCTGAAGTTTGCTGTTTTCTGCAGAACCTTTTTAACAAGCTTTTCACCAAATTCCAGAAGTTTGATTAATTGACACTTCGCACACGTATCAAGGACCGATGACAATGCAGAAATTGGATAACAGTTTTCCATTATCCTGATTAGGACCGCCAGGATTGATAAATTCTTTTATAGAGCCTCTGTAGGGGAGTAAGAGAGAGCTAGAGTGCGATCTGCGCGTGCGTGCAGTTTCGGACTATTTGTTGATTCGGGCACTCGGCACAGCACAATGAAGACAGATACATTTTCAAGGTAGTGCATTCTCACCTTGTTCATTGCGAATGTTGCCATCAATCCTGAGTTGGGCTTCGACCGTCCACAAGATGTAAGGTTGTACAGTCGATCATGCAGTCATTTATCTAGGCTCGCGACTGTTTGCTGCTGGACAAGCTTATGTAGCACTTAGTCGAGTAAGATCTTTAGACGGTATTCGGATTAAAGAACTTAATTGCTCTAAGTTAACAGGAAAAACCCCGTGCACCAGAGAAGCTTTAAATGAAATGATTAGATTACGAAATGATTCGTAAGACATTTCAATACCACATGTCCAGAGAAAACTAATTGTTAAATCGAACTAAAAAATTAAAAATAAATAATAGTTTAAAATAAATAAAAAAACACCCTCTTATAGCAAACCAAATTAAAAGTAGAAAATAATTTTTAATTACAAAGAGTTTATATTACAGTAGTAGATGGTCGAACAATCAATCATAATTAATGGCCTCGAAATAAAATTATAATAAAATTTAAGTTATCAACAGAATAATTCAATTCAGACTAAAAAGCAAGTACATTTTACTTCATTTTCCTCCCATAGATAGTTGCCAATAGAATGATTGTAACATTTGATATATCAAGCATTAGCTATAAAAGCATGTTTTTTCAGTTTTTTAAACTATTATTTATTTGAAATAATTAATTGTAATGCTGGCTTCGTGAGATCTCGGCATAGTGTAGGATCTTTCAGGTTGCTGTTGCAACACACTGTGTAATAGCCGCAAAAACAAATGGATCATCATCTGGAAGAAAAAGATAGGTAAAGGTCAAATACAAATAAACATTGTCACTTTTCTGATCTATACCATGGAGCCTATATCGGTACTTTGAGAAAACGTTACCGAGGTGGTCGAAACTTTAACAAAAACCCAAGCGTGCATATATAATTTCGTTTACAGGTCAGAAAACATATACATGGCAACATACCAGACTTCAATGATTCGTATTTTTCCAAGTGCATTAATTAGTTCATTTGAGTGTTACTTCGACTCTATTCTCATGTACAGAACGTGTCCGAAGTCACTAAAATTATGCTGGGGTTGATTAATAGCTTAATCTCAAGATAAAAATATCATAAATATGAAGATATGTCAGAAATGTTCCCTGAAATTGATTTTTATCAAATGTCTAGAAAACTACTAGACTGATTTTGAGGAAAGGTTGTCAATGACTAGGGCTTCGTAAAAGGACTCAACTGATGTTAAATTTAAATCAGCCTTTAGAAAGGATGTTTTGAAAAGCTTTTACAGCGCCACCAATATTTTACAATTGAGATTCTCATTTGAAAAGACAACTCAAAATAAAGTAATTGTGTCTCTTGCATTTTTTGTGTGTCTAGGTTAGTTTTAGATAAAAAATTTAGAACTCAATTGTTTAATGAAGAACTGGTCTAAAGTAACTTCTGGTACTTATCCTGTGGTTTCCATGCTGATAGTCCTCCATGTTTATCTGGTCGCGAAGGGGAACCGCATATGTTTGGAATACTGTTTGCTGGTGCAACGTTTCGGCTCCCACGGTGGCCTTTTTCAGGTACAAATGACAACACATTTTGGTTATCTGTCTTCAAAGTGAATGGTTCTCTACCATGCTGAGATCGCGCGAAAGCCTCATTGCAATTTTAAGCTGGTACCGCGTAAAACCAGCAAAGCTCAGGTCCTCCTGGGGTAAGCCTTTCCGCTCCCTAAGGAAGTTCAGCTCGTTTTTCTTTGGGGGTTTGATGTCCTGTCGGAGAAGGCATGCCTACCGCAGACGGTCCTGAATTTTGCTGATTTTATGAGGTGTTATCTTGAAATTGCAACACCTGGCAGACGGATAATAATAATAATAAAGTTTATTGCAAAAGAAAAAGTAAGACCTAAAAAAAATTTCGCAGAAACTTGTGCTTGGGCATGAGCTCATGTATAAATAACTTAAGACTAGAAAAAAACAAAACAAAAAAAAAATATATATATATAATTTATTAGACAAGTCCTGGTAAAATTTTTAAAAAGACACAATCGGGACGGAGACGCAAAATCGGGACGAAGACGCAATCGGGATAGAGACAATATTGAAACAAAAGACAATATTAGGTGAATAGACAAGAACAAAAATTGGTAAAAATAAGTAATAAAATGCTATAATTCGGGAGGTAAGTAAAGTATATGTTTTGCCACGAAATCCTAGATTCTCCAAAGTAGTTAGTAATTCTTTGTGTTCAACTGTATCAAATGCCTTCTTTAAATCTATACAGACACAGGTCGATGGGTTTCCCAAGTCTAGACTGGTATACAAGTTTTCCATCAAAACTGCAATTGCATCTTGCATGGATTTTCCTTCTTGGAAACCATATTACTGCTTAGATAGAAGTCTATATTTATCAATCAAATTAGTCAAACGGGCCTACAAAAATTTTCAAAAATCTTGAGAGAATGCTTAGTAGTGAGATTGGTCTATAATTGGAAATTTGTGTCTTTTCTCCAGATTTGTGTAGTGGCTTTACTAGTGCTGTTTTTAGTGCGTCAGGAAATATAGCTTTGTCTATGCAAGTATTGATGAAGTACGATAAAACACTTAAAATGTTGTTACTGATTTGTTTGAGCGTGTATGATGTTATACCATCAAGGCCTGGCGATTTATTTAGCTTTAGTTGGCAAATAATATTATTTACCTCAAGCGGATCAGTTGGTGCCAGATAAATTGAATTTTGTATTCGCGTTCTTTCAAATTTTTCATGATGCGTTATATTTTTTGCCAGTATTTCCCCCACTTCTGAAAACTACCTACAAAATTCATTCGCTGTATCTTTATCATTTATTGTGAGTTATGTGTCGTCTGACTTTCTACAAGATGTATATGTACTGGTTTTATTTTATTGTATTTGTTTACGAACTGCCACATTTTTGTTGGGCTGTCTTTGTTTTTGTATATATTGTTTTTCAGAAAGTTTGTCTTTGCCATGTTAATGACTTTGGTTAGCTTATTGCGTTACGTTTTAAAGTCGCTTAGTAACTGAGCGTTTTCAGGATGATTTTTTGTAGCCTTATACAGTTGATTTTTTTTATTAATTGAATTTACCATTAGTAATCCATGACTGTCTCTTTATCTTGTTACGATTTATTTCAATTGTTTTAGATAAGCCAAATTTTATTGTCATTGACATCATAATTGTCATTTGTACCTGAAAAGGGCCACCTTCGTAGCCGAAACGTCGTATCAGTAAACAGTATTTTTAGTGGCTAGACAAATATGCAGGATTAACTGTCCTAAACTTTGTCGTTTTAAAGATGGTGCTTTTTTCGAAAAACTTGCACAAAAATTGCAAAAAACATGAAAAGTATATTAGTCTATTTTGATGAAACGGCAGTGCCCTGTTTATGGAAGACCAGTGGCGTACGAATAATCCAAGAAGTCAAAAAATCAACCTGCGCCCTCTGGATGAGGACATAAATCCTAGTGTGCAAATAAATGTTAACAATAACATTAGTTTAACCAGGTAGCAGACAGAAAAAGCAATATTTCGAAATAGCTATACATGCTATAAGTACAAATACTGCAGTAATAGCGGAATAAATACCCTAAAGTTTGCTATCTCGAAATTATCTATTTCAGCTTCCGTTATTTACCAACATTGTGAATCGCGCGACCGTCAACTGTGCCCGAGTGACTGGATTCGACGAGAAGGCATGTGGTTCCGTTATTCACGAGGTAAACCGAATCCTGGTGCCTCCCACTCGTAACATTCTGGAGACTATCGAGGCGGAGACCAAATACTCGACCTTGAGGGCGGTTCTCAAGGACACCGAAGTGGAAAAGGTCCTGCAGGAGAACAACAGGTCGTTGACCTTCTTGGCACCCACTGACGAGGTTTTCGCTGCACTCGAAGAAAAGGACAGGAAGATGCTGTTGGAGAATAAAGAGAAGGCCAACAACGTGTTGAAGAACCACGTTTTGACAGGTAGGTTGTTTGTTTCAAATGACGTTACCCATCATAATAATGAATCTTAGATCTATCATCTCCGACAGTAACTGGCAGATTTTGGTGTCACCCACAATTTTGAAAGAATCCACCCAATCTTTGAACAGCAAAAAGAGCTCCGATAGGAGATATCGTGAGAATGTGTGAGCCTCAAAGCTTATTTATGAGCGAGAGAAGGCAAATTCTCTCTGGAGCTTACAGAACTTTAAGATCTTACCGGAAGTTTTATGATATACACAACCATGTCATTTCTGATATTAGTTGCATGTTGTATCAAATAATACTCACCTATTCCTCACCGTTTTTTACTGTTTGATCTACTTTTAAAAATCGATGTTGGAACTTGACAGTTACACAAATCCTTCCAAACTCAACGTAGTCGATTTTTAACAAGATTTCGCCTGTGGTAGTGCTCTGTGCTGTTTCTTTTTACATCATTTGATCATATGGGGTCATTATTTGCAGATCCAGCATTAATCCTTAAAGGAAATACAGTACTCTCTCGATAATCCGCCGCTTGATAATCCGCCCACTACGGTAATCCGCCGTTTTTGTAGCATTGACACCAACTTGACAATCCGCCCATTCTTAAATATTTAACTTGGTAATCCGCCGTCTCTGCGAATTACCAGCTCTCCGCAGTCCGCCGTACGAAACAAGAGCGTGCAGACGTAAATACAGTTATTTGGAAAAAATGGCGGCAACTAGTACAAAACGTAAACATGAGACATTGACTTTAGTAAAAAAAAAATGGAAATTTTGCGAAAAATAGACCTTGGCGATTCGCTTACCGAGGTCGCAAAAATGAAAACTGCAGAGTCCGGACTAGGTAAAAGACAAACCATGAAGACTGGCGAATATCCACAGCTAGAATACACACTTTTTGCTTGGTTTTTACAAGAACGGCGGCGTCATTCACCAATCACATCGGATATTCTAAAGGCGAAAGCTCGTTCGCTGTATGAAAAAATTTATAAAAACCCCGATTTCTGTGCAAGTGAGGGATGGTTCAACAATTTTAAAGCAAGGTTGGGTATACGGATGCTAAGCATGACCGGGGAAAGTTTGTCTAGCAACGAAGTGGCTGTGGCACCATTTATAAAATTTCTTAAGAATAGGATATCAGAACTTAACCTAACAGCTGATCAGGTGTATCATGTCGATGAGAGTGGGCTTTGTTGGAAGTTGCTGCCACGTAAAACATACGTCCATAAAGGTGAAACAAGCGCTCGAGGTAGAAAGCTTCCTAAAGAACGAATTACGATTATTCCGTGTTCAAATGCCTCCGGTAGTCACAAATTGAAACTCGTCGTAATCGGAAAGTCTAAAAATCCAAGGACATTCAAAAACATACGGCTTCCTGTTGTTTACAAATCCCAGAAGAAAGCTTGGGTTACCAAAGAAGTTTTCTATGGATGGTTTCACCAAAACTTTGTACCAGAAGTCAAACGTTCCTTGAGAAGCAAAAATCTAGCAGAAAAAGCTCCAATTGTACTGGACAATGCTCCTGGCCACGACCCAAATGATCAGCTATGTTCAAGTGATGGTTCCGTACAAGCAATGTTTATGCCCTCCAACTGTACGCCTCTGATCGAACCCATGGATCAAAACATAATTCAAACTATCAAAACTGACTACAAAAAGAATATATTACTGCAGGCAATAAGTAGAGAGGGTGATATCGCTGAACGGCTAAACGTTAATCACAAAGATGCCGTCTTTACTGTAGCTGAGGCATGGGATAAAGTCACATGTCGTGCAATTGGAAGATCTTGGAAAAACCTATGGCCAGAAGTTAATGACAACGATAATGATGACTGGGAACCAGAGGACCTATTGCCCTTACAAGAATTGATCCAGGTAGCGACATTTAATAATTCGGAATTGACAGGAGACATGATTCAAGAATGGTTTGAAGAAAATCCTGAACAGTACGAACCATATATGGATGATACAGATTTAATCCAGGCAATAGCGGAACATGTGGACTCTTCAGATGGTGAAGAAGATGTTACCACTGTTTGTACTGTCAGATCTGAGGAAGCCTTGGAAAGTATAAATATGACTATTAAATGGGCCGAAGAAAATAACTTTACACTGGCTACATTAACTTCATTGAGACGACTCCGAGAAGATGTAATTGCTAAAATCTACCATGGGAAAAGACAAACTACTCGTACTTTGGAAAAGTACCTTCAAAATACATAAATTGTGTACACATGATATGTATCTATGTCCAACAAGACAGACCCAATAAATCGGTACAGAGTATGAAATATTAAGTCTGTTATTTATGGAATACATACATACATACGTACATCGTGTAATTCATTATTCTCGCTAATCCGCCGTTTTTGGCAATCCGCCGCTAGCCTGGGTTTTATAATGGCGGATTATCAAGAGAGCCAACGCGGCGACTCCAGCAATTTCTGCTAAAGGGATCATTGTTTTTCAATTACTTGAACATTCTCGCAACAGCGTGGTTGAATCTACTGCGTATGTGAAAATTTGACAAGAGACTCTGATACTACCACAGCAATTTCTTTTGTCATATCTGGCGAAGCTAATTTCCAGATGAAGGCATCATCCTTCTCCTGAAAGGATTTATATATGAAACATATCTTTTGAAAAATCTTAAAATCTGTCAACTAATTTAAGACGAATGCACTTATACAAAAAATTTCCGAAAATGATCTGATTAAACGATCTCTGAAACGTCAGAAAATGGACTTTGACCGATTTCTACTCTTCCCTACTTTTGCCTGTTGTATTTTCGTCCTTGGCATAGCACTAACATCGTTCCAAAATTTATTCAAAATCATAGCGGCACTTTCCAAGTTAAAGAGAAGTCAAGGACTAGCAGACAGACAGACAGATAGGCATACCGATGGAAATGAGTGACGTGGTGTTTCGTGATGTCATTCAAAAGCATATATACCATTTTTCGAAGGTTCGCATCTACACTACTTCCTTGCCAGTAACGTAGGGAGTAAAAACGTTCAACTTTGACAGCCCGCCATTGCGAAGGATAGCAAGTTTATTCTCTAAGCTTCAAAATTAAGAATATCATGACCTCCGTATCATCTTTCATTCAAAAGATAGGTAGGGAAACTGTTAATCTATGATACCAAAAAGGTTGCCCAAAATAAAAGTCTTCTACAAGAACCTTTATTTTCTCGTTTATTAATTATACATCGTATTTTTTCCAGAGGTTCTCTGCTGTTCGGGTGTAGGCCCTCAATCCTGGGGCTTCAGCAGCCTGGTTTCTACTCTAGGTGAAAGCCAAGTCGAAGTAGGAAGGACTGGCAGCAGGATCCGCATCAACAGGGCTGTGGTGACAAACTGTGATACTGTGGCTACCAACGGTGTCATACACACCGTCAACAAGGTCATTGCTCCCAGACAGCCACAGGTGGCAGCTATCGGAGGAGGATTCTTCCTCTTCGACCTTTGAACAGTGATATTTGGATACCATACGTGTTGGTTATGGACACAGAACATCGGGGTTTCGTTGATAGGACTCCATGTTTCTCTAGCCAAATGAACCATTCCACATATAAAAATCAATATATATATATATATATATATATATATATATATATATATATATATATTTGTTGCAACTCACGGTGTAGTAGTAGTAGCGAAAAACCAACTGTCACCTGGAAGTCAGATGAACAGAATACATTTTCATTTAGATCTGTACTTCCAAACATACCTTCCTGGTGGCAGGAGCTGCAGCAAATAGTAATTTGTATTTATGTAGTTTCATTTGATCAGAATGAACTAGAGTTTTATCTGCATGAAAACCGCACTTTCAGATGAACATGATTCGGGGTTTGGATCTGAAATTCTATTTGTTTTGTCACTTATACACAAATTCAACGTTTTATCTAATCTATTTTTGGAGATCTGAAGAGGAAACATATGTTCTGTATAGAACAATTTGTAATATTGACTAGCTAGAGCACCTAGAACAATGTACCCTCGACCACCATTTTGTTCTCTTCTACAGGGATACTATGTATATTACAACAAACTAGCTTAAATATCAGGTCAAAGTTGTTATTAGTCAGAAGGTGTTGGGGTATTAAGTAAGCTTTCTAGCGACACAAGCTTCCAGTGATCCAAAAATAGCATCAGAATATTCTGTCTCCTGCTTACAAAGTACAAAAATATCTGTGTAAAAGTCAAACTTATTTTCTGAACCAATTATAGCCAAAATCAACACTGTGTTGTCCAGAATTCAAAACCTAGTGATAACTCATGATAAGTAAAGTAGTTGTATTTTTATACTATGTGTATGACTGAGACGAGTACTGTAATCTGTAACACGGTGATTTGTTAACTTCTGGTTAGCAGCACTTGGTGCATATTTATTTTTTGCATTTTATAAGTGTATGTATGGTTTTATATTACGTTTAATAAACTATAGTTTCAGTATAATGTGCTTCATTTTCATCTAAAAGCTATTCTTGACAGTGGCAATTACAGGGTGTTCTTAAAGTTGGGTCTTTACAGAGCGTATAGATCATCAAGCAAACTAGATATTAAGTTTCCAAAAAATCAGAATCGACTAATCTGACCCTGCATTCTACGTGAAAAAGTACAATGTTTTTTAGTACGATGTGCATCGGTATTTCATTGCATTTCATTTCTTCATTAGTTCTCTTAGACCATCATAAGATGACATAGAACTAGTCAATGGAGGCAGTAGAGTATAAAGTATACACAAAATAAATAAGTAGATAACACACATTAGTGCAAGACAGTGAACATTAAACAACCATTGAAATATAAAATACACAAAAATTCAACTAAAACAAACATAGAAAAAACGTGGTAGATACAGATTAAAATATTGCGTGGGAGCCTGTAGGATAAGTCTTGTTAAGTACCTGTTATTGTCGTTCAGCATCGGAAAATCATCTAAATTAGACTTTACATGTAACAACAACTCGAAAATGTATATGGATGGCAAAGTTGGAACTCCCAGCTGTTTGAACGAAGCTCTACAGCTGGACCTTCTGCTCTCACCTTGAAGTAATGGTACCACTCTTCTTGCATAGTAAATACTGGATCTGTTTCAGTGGTGACACCCCAGGGTATTATGCCATATGATAATGTTGACTGTATATATGCATAGCAATGAGTCAACAACAAAGATTTGTCAACGACAAAACTAAACTGACTTATTCAGTATATGTAAGGGGCTCTCAATATATGATCAATATGAGTATTTCAACTTAAGCAGCTAGTTATGTGGATATCCGAAAATTTGACAACGCCCACCTGTTGAATGGAACCATAGAGTGACTTAACCTGCCAGCTATGATCGAGGTTGGAGTTTGCATAAGTGTACCTAACGGATTGCATTTTTTTTTCGTTGAGCAGGAGCTCATTATCTTGGAACCATTGCTGTTCTTTTTAGCTCTTCAGCAGAGATGTTGATGTTTTGCAATCTACTAATAAAGATGTATCGTCCGCATACATAACATAATTAGTGCTACTGATATCATTCACAGAAATGGTCCCAAGGTAGAGCCCCGCGGAACTCCCATTTCACTGTTATGCATTTCAGGTCTGTGATTTTCAATTTTAGCATCCTGTGATCTGTTGAACAAATAATGACGAAACCACTCCAGTGGAAGTCCCGTATTCCTTAGCATTCAAGTTTTTTTTGCCTATATCAATACTACTATAGGAATGGTTCAAGAACTTTATTATTGCTATAGTAGTTGACAAGCTCTTGCGGAAACCATACTGATCTTCATGAAACAATAGGTTTTTCTTTTGAAGTATTTCACTATACAGATTGCTACGTACAAGTGAACTGATCAGGGATACTGGTATGAAGTTTCCTACAAGACTGGAGTCTCCTATTGATACATGCTGAGGATTATCAGTTAGTGAGTTTTCAGCTTGTATAGCGATCTTTTTTTTATTTGTAGGTTTTAGTATATTACACGCTGCTTTGGATTTGTCTGTTGCTTGCTCTAACATTCGACTGTTGTATAACTTTTTTTACTGCACGAAGCGATTTTTTATATGTCTTTTTGTATAGGTTATAGTAATTTTTCATATCTGCATCCTCTCTAGTTAGATTGTTGGCTAGATATAATTAAACCGTTTGTTAACCAAGGTTTCCTTTTTTTATTTTAGTTGATAGTGTTTCTTTAAGAGCGAAAGCTAACTCGAAGTAGTACTTGAATGCGTTAAGTAATGACTGAAACCTACTTTTTACATCACCATCATTAATATAGATATCAAGCCAATTTTATTTGCTTTATAACATACATCCAGAAAATGTTTCATGTTATTTGTATTGAATCAGGCGCCGCACAATGTGTAGGTTAACCTAGATTATTTACAAATCGGATTTAAAAAAGCAACATTCTCTACCTCCTGTAGCAAAAACGAAGATACCGATTTGATGGTAGTTTATGCCGAGTGTCGTCAGCATGCTATTGATACTTCGCAAATGTATTTAGATCGTTTTCCTTAACGTGTCTGCTTCAAGCTGCGTAAGTATGCTTATATCGTGCAAAGGCCATCGCGATTAACACAGATGAATACCTAATAGTCTAATCATATTAGGAACTTTCTCCGAAATAATTGTAAAGTCTGGTTTTATCGTTGCAAGTTCTTCAATGGGATATTTAAAACATGGACGCATAAAATGGGTACATCAATTTTTTAGGGAAAACTTTTTATCCGTCAACAAAGAATGAGAAAATGTCTTTTTCGGGATTCAATCGAAAGTGTTGTCAGGAACCAAAAAACTCTTTGGATAAGATGAGAGCACACGTAAAACGATCCGAGTAATAGTAAAAAAGATATGACTGAAAACCGAGGCAAAGTGCTGGTGACGGCTCTCGTTGCTAATGCGACGTTAATTTCACGGAGCTACTTGAAATTCTTCAAATCCGTGGGCTTCATACTTCTAAATAACCACAACAAAACTAGACTCGATTGGTCAAGTGGTTTTTGAGAATTTCTAATTGCTTATCCCAAAACACCTGTCTTCCGGCCATCACTACTAGTTTACTGAGCAATATACAGAGGGCTCGTTTAAAGGGCATTTTATAGCGAAACACATGACCTTACCTTCCCAATATGAATCACAATTTTATTTTTATGCGAAAAACTAAGGGGATAAATAATTAGAAATTCTCAAAAAGTACTTGACCAATCGACTCCAATTTCGTTGTCGTTATTTAGAAGTATGAAGCCTAAATACCTAAAAATCTTATTTAAAGAGTTTTTTCGTTCCTGCCAACACTTCCGATTGAAACCCACAAAACACGTTTTCTCATTCTTTATTGTCGTATAAAAAGTTTTCCCACAAAAAATGGTGTACCCATTTTATGCGTCCATGATTTAAATACCCGTTGAACAATTTGCATCAATAAAACCAGACTTTACAATTATGCCAGGTGTATTTTCGTCTAATATGACTATAAATAGGTCCGAATATTGCCAATTTAGAACAACCTCAAGCAGTATTTTACAAGCACCATATGAAAGGGTGGTACTTAAAATTACTTATCAAACAAATGATAGGTACTTTTTCGATTCATTAGCTTGGTTATTAACTTGTTGTTTCGGAAAAGGAAAGTCCCAACCTTCACGATACCCTGTATAAAACTGATGTTGGTCAAAGTTGGCCTAGTTTCCAAACTTCGCCTTCCCTTTTCTACTACTACTACTACTAATACTACTACTATCTACTACTGCTGGTGCGAATTGGCATATCTTTCGTGGTGACTCGAGAATAAAATAAACAATATATCATATTCTTACACCTTATTGAGTTCTACAAGTTCAATAAAAAACTAGAAACATTATAAATACATGGCTTCGATACATTAGAATATGACAATACAATATTTATAGAATTAAAGTACGTTGTTAACAGGGTGAATACAATGCTAGATATAATTATACAACAACAGAACGAAATCTCACAATATCTTCCAAATTTTGACCTATAACTGTCAGATATTACTAGCGGTAGCAAAGTGTATGTCGTAGAAGACTGAGTAGTGTCATCGACCTTGCTATAGACAACGTTAGCAAAAGAGCCTAGCGCAAAGTCTTCCTCGTACTTGGTCTGCAATGATAACATCTTCATGTAGATCAAAGGGGGTAGTACGAAGACCAATGGCCCGGTTAGGGTACCACCTATCAGGGACATCACTAAGTCGAAACGTGGTACCGATTCCGCTATCACAATGGCGAGTATTGTTAGGGTTGTACGGAGGATGCATCTTTTCGGATTGAAATCTGTAACACAATTCAGAGCTGGTAAGTATATTGAGAAAATTTAAAATAAGGAGGAGAAAAAAGAATATGAGCAGACATTTATGTGTGCGTCTGCGATTTTTTAGCTAAGGCGTGTGAGTCCGCTATAGTTGTTTCCCCTATATCTCCCTGCACTACGGTATCCACGGGTATAGACTGTATAGGCTTTATGCCTCCGTAGAGGCTCAAGCATACTCGTAAAAAATATTGCTCATTCCGAAGAAAAGTGACACATTTATAGTATGTAACACGAAAATGTTGGG